AGTGTGAAGCAAAGCAAGTTTTATGCATGGGTTAACAGCAAGAAAGGCATGCTTGAATGCTGACCACAGTTTAAATTTTTACATTTACTAGTCATATTAGGTTTGCCAATATATGTTAGTGATTCACAGCAACTTGGTGCAACAGGAGAAAAATTATTTGCAACTCTTTCAAGTGCTCATGCATTTGAATCTCAAGTATCTCTGTCCTGTCTCTATGACTACTCTCAATGCTCTTGCCTTAAACTACAAGTTCAAGAGTTCCATGGAAATTAACTCAAGTGTATCTCCTTCAGCAAAGTGCAACTTCAGCTGAAGGTTAGGATGAAAGATGAAGTTTTACAGAACAGTAAAAGAGAACAAGTAGGTATTTTTGTCCTAACCTGGATCTATTGCAATAATCAAGTGAAACTAATAGTATATGGCAGCTAATCCTTCACAACAGCTATAGGCAATTCCACTAAAAAATGGACAAGTGTTATAACCACACATTTTTTACCACAAATGAAAAATGCTCATAGAAAATGGATTTGGAGAAGAGATCCAACAGACAGCAGAAATTTCTGCCTGCACCTCAACTCAACTAGCATACACCATTAGGATATGAAAACTGCTTCATTTACAAAATGGAAGGCCTGCAGAGGGCTTATCATTCTTTGGCAGTCAACTTTTTGGCATAAATTGAGCCTTCACTGGAGGAATGATCCGAGTCATCCAAAACTGATTCAGAAGATCGATGCTTCATATTGAGCCGTGAAGTGCCAAGACACGTACAAATTTGGACCTCTTTACTCTTTCTCACATCGTCTAGTAAATTCTCTGCTGATCGAGGACGAGTCTTTGAGCTGCCAAGAGGACGAACAGGAAACTCACAGCATCCAAATTTTCTAAAGCTTTTGAGCTTGGCAGAGGTGATGCCAATAGGCGGAAGCCAAGGAATAGATCTACAGGAGTGATTGAAGGCAAAGCTCTGACGGAAGTCCTTCTCCCAGAGTGCTTTCTTGGAGTGGCAAGGTGGTGGAGGAGGAGGCAAGAAATCTTCCATTGAGAGATAGTTGTAGTCAAAGCACATTGCCTCTCTTTTCTTCTGGTCATTGCCTAATTTCACATCCAGGGGGGGACAACCCACTCCCTGGCGAGATCTAATATCTAGAAAAATGAAAAGGATAACATAGAATTTGCCGTATTTTTGGCCAATGGTTACATTGACAGTGATTCTATGGATTCACTAATTCATCATGAATAGGTAACCTTAGAAATGCCTTTCCAGATACCAAATGGAGTTTTTAATTGGAGGGGGGGAGGGGGCATGGATTATTTACAGTGAAACAAATAGATGATGGCTGCTCAAAATACTGAGGCAAGCACAAAAAGAGCCTCATCTTCTTAGGCAATGAATGCAACTTGACAGTGAAACAGAACTGGGAAAAAGCTGTCATTGAATATTGAAGGGTCTGAGCCCTTTCCATTACCCAATGTCCCTAGCTAGGAAGACTACATCTTGAATGTTTTGAATCAGCCATCACCTGGTTTGTTTTTCATTGGTTCATGATGCCCTCCCAACTTTCCATAATTTCCTTGTTCTTTCTGCTCCATTCACTTGGATTCATTGTTCAACAAAATCCAAAATGCTTGATATAATGTAGTCTGCAAATTGAACTGAGTGTAGTGGTTCTCCATTTTGGCCCCCTGAGAGTCAAATCTTACTCACTTGAATAAGCATTTGAGAATGTGTAGGGCATGGCATTTAGATTGGTTCAGTAAAAACTTCTGAGAAAATCACCTTTTTCTTCTTCTTTTTTTTTTTTTACAAGGGAAATACGATAAGTTGGTCCCTCTAGTTCAGGGTTTCCCAACCCTGGGGTCACAACCCCATTTGGAGTTGCAAACTGGGGACTAAATACAAAGTCATGTTTTTCTTTGTGATATTAGTGGACAAGTGGGGAAGCCTGTCTAACTTCACCCAGTGCTTGGGGCTGTGAATAGCATGAAAGTGATTTTTGGGGTCGCATGTAAAAAGGTTGGAAAGCCCTGCTCTAGTTGGATCAGCTTTTTTTTATGATGCACACAAACCAATTATATCCTATATTTGTGACACTCTAAAGAATTTTCAATGGAAATATATCATGGATTATATGGAAACATATAATATGATAAAGAAACTTATAACCAACCTGAGATCAATTGCTGTTCTTGATGGCAGAGTTTCTTAAATTCTGCATCCCTGTCTTGTAAGCTTTGGGCAAGAGTGATGTATCGCATGTGCAGTTCAACCTGAAAGAGAAAACCAAAGATTTCACAATATTAAATCTTGACATAACTTTGGAAAAACGTAAGATTTTGGTCTTGTTCGCACAAAAAGATAGATCATAGAAGGCACAATGCTAGCCACTCAGACTCATAAATATACAGAATTTCAAAAGTTGGCAATTACCTTTCGAACACAGTCTTCATACAATACCACCATTCGCAACCTGTTGCAGTTCTGGATGAAGGAAACCAAGGAGTGATGATCTGCTCTCTCCATGTCTTGGCCATTGATTGACAGTATCACATCACCTGAATTGACAGAAAACATGGATAACAGGATTCACACTCTTGCCTATGAACAGAATTGAGTAAGTACCCTTTTCAGCAGAATAACTTATTGTTTCAAGCTGGTAAATAAACAAAATTCAAAGTGCTGGGCAAAAAATTGAGACTGCTTTAATAAAAATGATTGGAGAGGTAATGCAAAGGATCTTTCACAAAACTGCCACTTTCACAAAAGGTATCATATCTTTGATCATCTAGCAAAATTTCATATATGCCTTTTGGGGAAGGAATATATCATTTTTTATTTCTTTAACTTGCACATCATTCATGAGCTCAAATTGGAACATATTATTTAGTATTTCTGAGTCATATTTTGCCTGCTACATGATCAAATGAGCAAATGAAATTTTCATTTAAGCTGATATTGTCTTGGGCCAAAAGTAACTTACTAATATTCTACTCACTAGACCAAGCTATTTACATATGGGACACATTTTAAGCATAGGCTTTGGAGATTTTCCCCAATTATTCAACATTTTGTGCTAGAGGTAAATTTGTAATATGTAGCAAAATCCTATGATAATTCTTACCTGGTTGCAATCCAGCAGCATAGGCAGATCCATCTTCATCAACATGATCTACATATGTAAGAACTTCAATCTCTCCAAGAGGATGATACTGGATTCCATAGCTCTGCCATAAAAAAAAGGCCATAGGTCTATGACAGCAGATGAATAGAAGAATATTTCATTTCCTTCAAGCCAACATAGGCTCTAATTCAACTAAGTCTAGGCCTATATTCAATAAGAAATCTTGGAAAACGCACCTGCAGAGTAAAACCATATGAGCCATTGTGTCTCTCAATCAGAATAGTTCTTCTATACTTTTCTTTTGGACCATTTGGAGCAAGATCATCCCCAGGTGTGCTAAATCCATTGGCATCCAGCAACTGAGAGAAAAGTTAACTCCTTTAGACTATATAATGGTAAGTTATTGAAGAAAAATGGGCCTAGGCTAGAACCACATATTCAAGAAGTATATAATTCTCAGGCTTGTGCAAGTTGCTGCAACTTGTTGAGGCCTAGACATAATGCATACATTGCCAAGACTTAGGATACCACAGATAGATAATGAAACATTATCTTGGACTTTAAAATATCCAAATTTGTATAGCTAGTTTCTGAGTTCCATTGTATACCTTAAGGGATGACCACCTGTATGTGAACACATTTTTCACTGAAGTCTTGTTTGAAAAATACAAGATATTCAGTCGGACGATACAGTATGGGGGTGGCTTTTTCTTTCTCTCAAACTGTTCATAGACCTAGCTTCAGGCATACTGTTCTATGTCAAACAATACTTGCTGGAAACACCTTCATAAATGGATGATCAAACATTGGAATTTACTGCCAAGGAAAATTCTAGATGCATCATCAGTGCTTACCTTCAAGCAGAACGAAAAACTAAGGAATGGATGGAAGAAGAGCATAAGGCTTTAGGAATAGGTCCCCCAAGCTGAGGTAAGCCTATTGCTGATGAATTCATGACTATGTAACTTGTGAATGAATTTGTAACATCTTTAGGAGGGGGGGTTATAGATACACAATACCTGGAATTCAGCATTTCATACAGACTCATGGTAGGGTAGGCCTGGGCCTACCCTGCCTTCATTGATGAAGCACTACTGCTGAATATCATGAGCTACTCATAGTCTGGAGTCCACCAGGAAATTTCCCAGTATCCTGGTGGTTTACACACCCTCTTAATGCATATCATTGTTTTATAAGAGCCAAACAGTGGCAGAACTTATGTTTCCTTTAATCTTACACATGTGAACTGGTAATTGGTAGACATCCAGGAAGCCCTGGATCAGTCCAAGGGTCACCAACTCTCATTGTTAATAGAGGGACAAGTGGGGGAAATATGAAAAAAGTGGCTGCAGCACGCGGAATAAAACTTGACCTGACCTAGTCAGACCTGAATATAGACACCTTTCCCCAAGACACATGAATCTCAAGTTCAAGTTAGAACGAATATATTTGTAGGAGCATTTCAGCACGCTGATTGGATAATCATTTATATCGTTTCATGGCTCACCTCTGGTTCATTCAGTCTCATAAGGGACAGACCCCGTTGACAAAGATGAATCGATCGATCCAAACTTGTGGATCTTGGAGGATGTGCAGAACATGATTTCTGCCTCTTTGTTGACAGGTTTAAACCTAGGGCTACACGTGGGAACCATGACCTCTCCTTCTCACTTGAGGTCATTGTTCATTCGTTGAACAAGGCAGTACATGTGCTTCGACCTGAATGAAACCACAGGATAGAAAGGTGCCTCGAGACCCACAAAATCGATGGGGGGCACTGCAGCATGTGCCGCAGGGTGCCGCCATACCAGAGACGGTGCGCATGCCCGTGCGTCGAATCAGAAGGCGCGCGGAAAGGGGCGGCTGTGCCAGTCGAATCTTGAATTTCCCCCTGTGTTAAGGCCAAACGTCGATCGAGTCTAGCTGAGTCTGTGCCGGCTATTTCCTTCGGTTGCACGCCAAGTTTTAGTCCTTGGATGGACTCTCCAAGGTAAGCCAATCCTTCTGCAGTTTTCCTCCACTCGAAGATTGCTCTTTTCCGGATGACGACACACTTAACAGCTGATGACACTTCCCGTGCGTGCCATACCTTGTCGCACTCAATGAGAATAGTGTCTACTGAAAATACCAGCATCATTCAGTGATTTTCATATTGATCCGATCGCATGTGAATTTAATTTTCTATAGTGCATGCCTGGTATTGAGACATTTATTCCTAGAAAAGTGACAGACCTAAACTCATGTCAGAGATGTTACGAATTCATTTGCGAGCCTCAACAGTCTGTGTTTGTAGGGCCATTACCATGTCAATAGGTTTTTGGGTTTATTTTTCTAACTCAATGCATATCATTAGGACTAAGACTTTGCCTCGATTGTTGGGTGTAAGCTACTGATGCTAAACTGATGTCCCTTTTCATTAACAGAATGTCGGGAAACATTATGTTCCCACTTGCTGTCGACTGCTCCTCATCCCTACGGAAATTTGTTGTGGCCGTGGAGGGAAACATTGCCAGTGGCAAGACAACATTCTTGAAATTCTTTAAGAATTTAGCCCATGTAGATGTGATTGAAGAACCTGTGAAGAAATGGAAGGACATGGATGGTCATAACATGCTGGTGAGAATATGTGACAGCACTCTTGTGCCAACAGTTGATGCTTTTGCTGACTGGCTGGTAGCAATTAACAATTGGATGGTATTTTAACTTCAGATGGTGTAATTCAAAATATCTTGGCTATCACATTTGAGGTGATGAAACTTAGTTTGGATTCAGGAGTTTCACACCATGTAAATCATGTTCACACCTTACATTTGTTTTTCTTCAAAGTTACTTTTTATGTGAGAAATTCCTACATATGTTTGCATGTCTGCATCTTTATATTTTCCATACCTATTTGTAATTGAGTAAGAATTCCATTTTTGGGTTTAGCCAAGGGCACCCTTTTGAATGATGTGTTTGATTATCATGGAAAAAATTGCTTAGTTTAAAACTTGTAATTGAGCTAGTTTCAGGTCAATTAATATATTAAGGAACACAGTGCATTTTGTTGGTCTGTGGTCAGATTCATAAATTCATATCTGATGGGTGCAGTAGAGTAATCTTTGTTTTCTTGTATTACCAGGGTTTGCTGTATGAAGATCCCAAGAGGTGGAGCTTTGCCTTTCAGAGCTATGTACAGCTGACCATGGTCGATAATCACATACGTCCAATCAAATCTCCAATTCGCATGCTGGAGCGTTCAATATTCAGTGCAAGGTAGAATTCATCACTCATCTGGGGACTTGTAAAAATTAGATTATTGACATCAGATTTAAGGCAGATGTTTTTTTTTTCACTTGTGACATTGAGTGCGAATGAGAATAGAGAAGATGGATGGTCATACTGATGTTGGGAGAGGGATCATAAAGAGTTGGGGGGTGAATGGAAAAAGAACTGAAAGGAAGGTGGGTGATGAGCTAAAATGCCATCACTGCCATTCAAGAACTTCTATTCACCTCTTATCCCTACAGGCTTACATGCTCATAGACTACCTTCCCTTGAAAGGAGAGAAAATCAACAATGGCTGATTCCTTCTGCTCTGGAAGATTCATTGACTGGGCCTATTTTTAAATGGAGTTATGCCAAGTAAGAAATACTTTGCTGCATAGACCAAACCTTCCCAGTGCAGCTACTTCCATTTGCTGCCACATGGATAGATTCCAGCTTTGTAGCAACTTTGTATAAGCTGAATGAGTATTTCCTTTGTTGAAAAAAGGTCATTAGCTGAAGCCTTGGACCTGCCAGGTGGCAAGATTAGAATTGCTTGTCATTAGATGAAAAAACTGAAAGGAATCTGCAGCCAGAATAAATATGGATATGCTTCTGACTGCAATATGCTTGTAGGCAACTTTAAGAACATGACCAATCACTAAGGATATTAGTACATCCCAAATGTCCCATCAATGTTTCCCTCAAACATTTAAAGCATCCTTCTGTCACTTGGAGGTGAATAATATCCCTTTTGTCCTGTTATCACTTTATGTAGGCATTGTTTTGTGGAGAATCTGTATAGATCAGGGTACCTGGACAAACCTGAGTATGCTGTCTTGTGTGAATGGTTCAAGTGGATCACAAGTAACCTGAGTCTCTTCCCAGATCTCATAGGTAAGCTGAGGGCTTTAGACTGCCTATCAAGCAGGGTTAGATTGGGTGTCCATTGGAATGTCTTAATCAATTGGCCACAAGTCATCACATATGAAGTGATTGAATGGGAATTACTTTGTTTTTGGGACTAGAAGGTGTGTGTAATATGAATGTAAAAAGATGCATGAGAAGGATGAATGAGTGGAAAACAACCTCCAATAGGCTTGACATTTCCTTTCAATTGATAAAAAAAAAGAAGTTGCTGAAGAATGTAGGCACAATATATCATTTTTCATTCAGCTGAATAAGCCAATACAAAAACATTTCTTAAAAGTAATTTTTAAGGCATCTGCAGAGCTTTAAAAGAGTGCCTATAAAAAATATGGTGCTATTCCAGTATTTTATTGTTTGGTTTGTTGATTAATTCCAAACTTTTTCTTTTCTAGTGTACTTGCGATCATCCCCTGAGACAGTCTTGCAGAGGATTGAAAAGAGGGGACGACCAGAAGAGGAGAAAATATCATTGGAGTACCTCCAATCACTGCATGTACTCCATGAGGAATGGCTCATGAAAGGAGAATTCCCATGCCACTCCAAGGTCATGGTTTTGGATGCCAATAATGACTTGCCCACTATGGAACAACTATTCCTGAAACACAAAGATGAAATTGTGGGATTGCCCTTTACACTTGACCAAAAAGTAACTGGGCCTCAATCCCCTCCTGCAGAGTGACTGTGACATTTGGGGTCCATGTTTCTTCCTTTTTTTTCCTCCCTTGGGGAGACTTTTGTCAGTTTCACAATGCTTTCCTTTTTAAAAACATATGATCTCATATTGCTCATGGACAAACTCCAGACCTTTGGATGTGAAGATTCCCCAGTGACGATTGCCAAGTGTGATTATAGCTTTCACAGCCTCAGGCTTTTGTGCCTCTGCCTTGAACAGTGTTTTCTCCCTCCATTCTGACACAATGGATTAAAGTTTTTTCACACAAACAAGCCCCTGTGTACATTCTTTTGGTACTTGGTGCATAGAGTAAGTTGCTTGAAGCACTCAAGTATTGTTGTCAACCATCATTACACCTGTCCATCTCACCACTTGGCAACTGTCATTTGTAGTTCCTACCTCTCACAAACACCACACTCAAGCATGTAGTTAATACCTCATTTGCAAGTGATCAATCTGTTTCTTGCTCTCTAATAAAACTAATCACAGGAAATAATAGCTCTTATAACGAGAATATAAGCTAAGTAAAAGCCCTCTGAAAAGTTTCATTTTCATTTGGGAAATTTTTGCATAAGTGTTTTCTGCAATTGCAGCAAACACATTTACTTTTGGTGAAAGTTTTACTTCATGAGACCACTAAAGTGGGCAGTGTGTGGGATCTCTCATCCTTTTGCTGAACTTGACAGTTTACCAAAAAAATTCTCAAACTGTTAAATCATTCAGTAAAGATACAAGATGGTGAGAACTAATGTGGGTGCCACCTTGGGAATTTCATTCCCCTGAACTGCATGTACTTAGGGGGTTCAACAGCTCCTGTCAAAGGAACTGCGTGGGAGTGATCTTTCAAGATGTCCTACAGATATCTTCTTTGCATATATTCCAGGCAATTCACTAATGCAACTGATGTATTTATTCAAATCTTCATGGTTGCAGTTGAATGCACTTGAAAATAATTGGAAAACTTTTCCAGTTTTTGAAGTAAGTTTTATAAGGCTACTGTGAAAGCCACACAAGCATGTATGTAGAGATGATGGGACCTTATTGTTCATCTGATAGAAGGGCAAGTATTCATACCTTTGGTGGAATTTTTGACTGCATTAAGATAATTGAGTAATGTTTGATAGGGTAAACACCCTGGTTTCTGGCTGGTCTCCAGTTGTTGGCCAGTGAGGCTTAAATCCAGCATAATTAGTTAATCTGGCAGTTTTCAAGCATTCTATCAACATTCCCAAACAAGGACCTATTACTAGTGTTTCCTGGTGTGTGCACAGGGTGTCCACTTCCTCTGGGAGTCATATCTGCATGGCCAAAAACAGGTGTTTCCTGTGTACCAGGAAGCTAAGTCTTGTTCTGACTGGAAAGGTGAACCTTCAGTAGTATAAAAAATTTGTGCATTTTTGTTCCTCTAGAAATTTTAAAAGTTGCATATAAAGCCCCATAGAAGATGCAAATTTCAGTAGGTGGTTGCCAAAATTGACCAAAATGTACTGTGATATCTCCATAAAGGAGTGCAATACCTGAGCAGAAGGCCACAAGGAAACCACACTCTTCACACACAATGATACTTTTATTCCTTAGCAAACCTTGCCTGTTGCAGGTTCCAACTAGATTCTGGTGAAACAAAAGGAGAGCACTGATAGAGCAGATACAACTGAAGGTTTTCTAGAATGATGCCACCCAAATCTTCAACCCACATCAACAGGATTCATATATCACAATGCAATCATGCTCTTCAGATGCACATATACAGGAACCATGAAAATATAGACAGGCCTGTGTCAACTTCATTGGGCAATCAGAAAATGGAAAGGTGTTGCTATTCTGCATCACCTATCATGTTTCACATTTTTCCCTATGGATTTCACTGTCACCCAATAAAGCTATCACAAGTTTATATTTACTGCATGCAAGCAGAAACTGAAAGCTCTGCACACGTGGAGATTCAGGCAGAAGCTCATTCTGATTGATGCCAAGAAGCACATATCACAGACTGACTCAGCATACTCTTTCATTAATGATGACTACCAAGTGATAAATAGATACACTCCATGTGGTCAGAAAGAAAAAAAGGATGGCCACCACCAACATGACCAAAGAACACAATTCCTCTTAGCTAACAATCCTAACTTGTTGATGGAAGTTTCACAACAATAGGGGTATTGGATTCCACTGGTGGAGGGATGGATCCATGTTGAGCAGAGTTACACCCTAAATCATTCTCTAAAAGGTCAATCAATTTACAGTTGAGGTATGTAGCAAAGTGGAAGTAGCTTCATGACCCAAAGTTATCATGCTACCACACTTCTTCATAAAACCTATATTTTCAGTGATCAGCACTTCACAAATACCTTTCATCAGACTTTCAGATGTTTTTTCCTTAGGAATGCTGTGCATAATTCAACCACTTGAACTTGAATGCAACTATGGAGAAAGGATTAGATATACCATGAAATCACATGGATATCCATAACTATGCATTTTTTTACATTTTGCATTTAATTAGTATTTGGAAAAAGCAGAGCTGATAAACTGTCAGTATAATGCACACCTTACTCTTAGAAGCCATCTAGAATGTTACCTGCATTTCACTATTTTGTGAGTAATGATTTGCATGCTAGGAGATGCCTACTATGCTCAATGCTTCGGTGTACTCCACACAGCAATTGGCAGTGATAGATATTTTTCAAAGCTTCATTCAGGTTGATAAAACAGAGACCTATGTGAAGGCAGAATCTTCCTCACCATGCCATGCATTTTTATCGTAATGCAGATCTTGGGATGGGAATGAGAAGGAACTTCAATGTAATAGATAATCCAGAGATTATACGAGATCATTAAAAAATTTAGCCTCACCCTGTACAGGATAAAACATGAAAGCTAGAGAAAATCTTTTGGCACCATGTGAAGGTCCATTCAATCATACACCATAACCTCTACCACTTGGAAATCCAGCTACCATGATCAGTGGTCAACCATGCAGTGCTATGCTGATTGGAGCAAACATTGCTCCTTTCCTATCTGTATAGGATTCTTACCCAAAGAGAATTGAAGCTACTCTGCATAATAATGGTGGCAAAAGAAAATAGTAAAGAAAGAAAGAAAGATGCAATATTCAATTGGTAGCTGAAAGTCTGGGTTTTCATGCAAAATTGAATGGGTTTTCAACCAGATTTGGTGCAACCAGATTTTTCAACTATCATTCACAAGGAGCCAGTGTTACTAACGATCCTGTACATACAAGTTTTGGGTGATTAGGTACAAGGTGTAAAGTGCATCATATTAAGGCCCTCAGTTCTTCAGCCTTCCACTGTGGTTGAGCTCTAACCTTCCGATTTTGTACTAAATGATAGTATGGAGATGAGGGGCTATGCAACCAATGTAAGTCTTTACATTAGAGATTTCCAAGATTGGTCCTCTCAGCTTGTGGGCAGTAAGGCGATTTGTGGCTATCAAAAGCTCTTTTCTGAGGCAAGCTGCCACCAAGAATTTCAAGTTGGCAGAGACAAAGGTATTTGCTACTTTTTCAGTAATTTTCAGTAATACACAATCTAATGGATGATGAATCCATCAAGAAAAACTTGATTCATTCACATGCAATAAAACCCCAGAATTCCAACAGTGCAAGTACCAAGTATCTGAAAAACTTTCAACTTTTCATCAGGGTAGAGAGGAAAGAAAAAATAACTCCATGAGGTCCTCAAAAGTGGAAGTGGAAGGGGAAGGGAAAGAGAAAGAGGCTGTGGAAAAAGAAGAATTCTGGTAGAGGCTGTAACATAAATCCTTTCAAAATGTCCCAACTTATGACATCATCTAAAGAAAAGAGTTGGGGAAAACTCAAGCCTCTGACACAAGCACAAATCACAGTCTACTTCCATTGAATTTTTATGCACCATTAAGACAGGCATGAAGAACACATATCCAGAAATGAATCCAAGGGCAAGAAGATCTCGAGTAATGTCAGATAGCAGCACAGCATGAAAGCTACAGTATCACTGGAATGTAGGAATTAAAGGACTAGTGAGCAGCAACACCACTGAGACCAAGCACCACAGAATCTCCTTTCATGACAGTTCAGGATTACCTATCCATGGACAATGAAATTGCAAACCCCAGAAGAATTCAGGGATTTTCAAAAGAGACAAGTAATCCAAACACATGAGATTGAGAGAATGGAGAAAAAGCAACAACCAACGGATATAACCACATGTGTGCCATCTGTGGCACATATGTGCCACAGCTACCTCGTGCATGATGAAAGTACAATGTCTTTGGCATCTGAATCATGTTGATCAGTGGCACCACTGAAACTTGTAGCAAAGAGAACATCTCTGTGATCAGGATATGTGACACTTTCAAAAGTCATCAAGCAGAAGCCCCAGACACATGTTTCAATTCCAAGTCAATGACAATACTCTCATCAGAATTATGAAATGCTGAAGGGAGCACAAAAATCAGAAGCTGGAGGGGGGGCATATTTGATGCCATAGAGAAAGTATATTCACTTGGCACAGTCCATGGCTAACCCTGGTTGATGTTGAACAAATGATCATTGGGAAAGAAATGCAGTCTCGATAATATGCAAAAGAATGTTCACAATTCCAAGGTTCAACACAACTGTTGTGATAGCAGTAGTTCAGAACAGCAGGATTTCCAGTTATAGTCATCATGGATGTTTGGTAATTTTCACTGGGATATGTATCATCTTCTTCATATCCAGTGACATCACAGACCCATGGGTTCATCTGACCTACCAGCTGACAGGAAAAGATCTTTTGACGTTCAATGGCATTGCCTCTGGCGAGATGGATAACATGGTGGTCAAAACTGACGACCATAATTGAGAAATGACTTCAGGGAATGAGGAAGAGGAAGAGAAGCAATGCTTCCAACCATATTACACTTGTAAGCAGGGAACAGGGATGAGGTGTTTTGCTGTGAGTCCTGTTTGGGTCGTTTCGCTTGGGGAACTTTGCGATCAATTTTCCTCTTGCGCAAAAGCAACATCCCAGCTCCTGCGGTGCTCTGAGCATCTTCAATCAACATCTGAGTTTCCAAAACTCTATCGAGTTTATTCCCAAAGTTGAGACGCAAGCAATGCCGAATGGCAAACCTGCATAGCTCTTGCAGGGTGTTTGGAGATTTCATAGCTGTAAACATATGTAATATTTGGTATTGAAATGAAAAAGCAATTTCAGCAAATTGGGGCAGAGAGACATCTTACGTAGCTCGCAGATCTCATTCTTGGTTTTTTCATCAGGGAGTATCAGTGGAGCAAAGGCAACTGGAAGGAGTGTTTTCTGCTTGATTTGCACTCCACCTTCAGTCACACATCGCTTTATTTGCATGAGCTGACCTCGAATGGGCATGACCAGGATTCCACCAGGCTACATAGGTGTTTGAATTAAACTAGTGAAGTATACCATGTAATAAAAATATCCATTCTACTTGTCACTTCAGGCACTTTATAGTGGATTTTCCTTTTCCCCTCCCCATGCAATTTTTCAACAGGTTATCCCATCCTGACTCACTCAATTGAAAGAAAAATTTTAATTTGCCAATTCCAACACTTAATTTTTTTGGCAATATATATTTGTAATAGAAGTAGATTGCCTTTTCCTCTCAAATTTTTAAAATGCATAGTGTGTGTAGAAGAATTATTTCAATTTTTTTGAGGGGGAGGGGCTTATTTTGCCAAAAGTAAGGTTCCTCAGAAGACTCATTTGGAAAAGTTGCAAAGGTAGCACTTGAGAGCTAAATTGAAGAGGATGACTTTTTCCCCATTGGGTGAATTGAAATGGAATACCCAGATGACCTTACCTTGATCAAATTGATCATGAAGTCCTCACACTCGTCAGGGCAAGAGGCACCACAATATACTCTATCATACTTAGAAGTTCCAGATGCCAAGGTCAGACAGTTTCCTGCATACATGTACAAAATCCATGGAGGTAAGAAGAAATTAGGCAATGGGGTGTACCCCTTGATCAAGGGAGGACTCAGCAAAAGAGAGCTTGCCAGTGACAAAGGATGGCTGACAGAAGGAGAACATATCAATAGCTGGGGAAGATTCCATGAAGTCCTGCAATTTTTTTCTGGCATATTCAACCACATCTTCATGCAATTCAATTCCATGGTTGATTCCATTCGACCCTGAAAACCAAAGTACAGAACTCAAACATTTCTCCTTATTATTGTAATAAAAACAGGGGATTGCAAACTTTGGGATCAGAGTTACTGGTTGAATAATTAACCAGCAACTGATGGAAACTAATAAATCAACTCATAGTTGCTTGAAGGTTTAAAAGAATGAAGGAAAAATTCCCTTTCTTAGAAAAACAGGAGAAAGAAGGAAAATAAGTTTTTCCTTTCCAAATGTTCTCTCCCCCTTGTTCCTCTCCTCCCCCCTTCTCATGCTGCATCTCCATTTAGTTTTTTTGTTTCTATTCTACCTCATTCAATAAACAGAAAGTCATCACTAACAAGGTGAGCAGAATTCACAGCCTTTTTTTTTCAGAATCAAAATAAATATTTATGCTATCAAGTACAGTTCCATCACTTTGAAACATGAACTGTCTTTTGCTGCATCATATTATGCCAATATTTGGATTTTTTTAGTCTCATGCCACCACAAATAGGAAACGGATCAATACAAAAAAAAAAATTTTGGGACACGACATATGACAAAATCTCATATATGCCTCAAAACCCTCAGCCCACAATGCCTAAGGAGCAATTCAAAACAAAACCCCCAGTGGAAGTCAAATGAAAGTTCAGTTCAGTCCATATTCACCTGGAAATATCTGGGATCTTGTCACTCTCAAGATTTCCATGAATCCAGTACAAAGCTCCAGTCCAGTGGAAGTATCAAACTTTTTCAACTTATATTTTTTGAACAATAGGTGAAGATCATCAGAGGAGAGTTATCTATCACCTCTCATGTTTGCAAAAAAAATAGTAGTTGGGTCTACCACTGTATAAAGGTTGTGGTACATATGCTACATGGCACAAAATCAAGGGGCAATGAGCATTCATATGGGAAAAAGCAATGCTTATAAAAATGACCATGCCAGTGCATGGCAGCTTGCAAGGGTGGTACCATAATGGGGAATTGTCTGATGAGTTTATAAGAAGATTTTTTCTCAGAATAGAGTTGGCAATGAGTGAGAGTGGTGGTACAAACGTTGACAGGAAATAATATGTAATGTACAATGGCATAATAATGAGGATGTGTCATTTGGACCTAAACATATGGCACTGTTCAACTTCACACATTTCTCCTAGGATTTTTCCAGACTTTTGATTACCTGCCTCACATACACTTTGTCCAAGCTGCAGATCACACCATTAGCAGTCTGACTTATTTTCAACTGTAACCTTCACTTTCAGTAGTTTTTTTTCTGATCCAGGAAAAAAAGGCTGGCAGCGATCATTTGAGTGGGGCGCTAATGAATGAATTAATTTGTTGCTGTTTTGTTGATCAAGTTTTTTAGCCACAAAAATAAGTAATGTACAAAAAAATGACCTGATGATATCAACATGCACAATTTATTTAATGAAATTATTAAACTTGTCCCAAAAAAATACTGACTCACAGAGCAGCCAGAAGTAGATAGAGAGAAGCAATACTTCCAGGGTGAAACTTCACCCTTTTAAATGATTTCTCATTGCTTTACTAAAAATAAGCATGAGCCCATACATGTGATAGGGGACTATTGATGTGGAATAAAGGAACCTGTAGGAAATGTTCAAGTTCTCATAGTACATACCCAAAAGCAATCCGGAAAGAGTGCTGAGGTATCCAGTTCCACTTCCAATGTTGAGGAAACTTAAGCCAGCACGGAGATGCAAGCCTTCCAGTACTTCAGCATAAATACAGGGGGAAGAAAGGTGCAAATTCCCAAACTTCCATGCTGTATCCTGATAAGCTCTTTCTTTGTGATCTTCTGCAAAATAATGAGCTCGATCTACAGCCCTGAACACTAGTGCTAGCAAGGATGTCCTGATATACTTCTCTTGTATCAGGTTATCCACCAACTCATCATTGTCTTTTCCAGTGCAGAGAACACCACCCATGGTTATCAAAGATGAAATTGATTTGATGAACAAACCTGTTAAATGGAAACTGTCATATTAAAGTAAAATATGAACCATTTCATCAACATATAATAGGCTACTTAGCACAAAAGGGTCAAGCCCCATGATTGCATCTTCACTCTGAAATCCTGGGTAATCATATCCCTTACCCTTCAACTCCACCTTCCTATAATCTCATCTAGTACTCCAAGTAACCTCAAACCTTGGGAGAATCAATTTGGCCTGGGTGGCTATTCCTGAGATATGCTACCCACTAATCTGCATTCTAATTTTGCTGGATGTGAAGCCAGTTCCTCTGCCACTGGAGTCAAGCTCATTACCAACTGAGCCCACTTACCTATCCATAATTTTGCATAAGCATGACTATGTGCCACACAATATGGTCAAGGGTAAATGTCAAGTTACTGTGAAGCCGAAAAGTGGCTTGAGGAGTTGGATTGTCTAGCAGGAAGCAAAAGTGCCTTGAATAGTGCAATCTGACTGAATGCAAACCTTACGAGTTTTGTCCTACGTGGATCAAACAAATAACTTCGATGGGAGAGGGGCTGATAAAGATAACGAGTATGTAGGCCTGGCACTACGTTTGGTGATGGACATGATTCTGTAAAATTAAGGAGCTAAAATGGAAGAAGCTGCTTGTGTCATGCTTAAGCCTAGGGCTAACGTTAGGCCTAGGCCTACACAAAATTTTCGTTATTGAGTTTTTTTTCCCCCATTTTATGCCTGATGCTACGGGTTTCAATTTGCGTTATAAATAATTAGTTGGGTATTACGGACTTAGGCCTAGGCATACATATAGTCTTGCACAAGGCCATCCGATATTTCCCCACGCCTAGGGCAAGTGGGGTCTCAGCAAATTTTCCAGCTTGTTGAATTAATTTGAAAATCACAAGACCACTTCTAGCAAGTCAACAGACAACATCTACTGGGGAACATCTGACAATTATTACGCCTAGGGTTAGAAGACAACTGGAATTCCCAACTTGGCCCAGGCTTACGCCCCAAAGCAGATACGTATGGAATAGCCCTTCGGGAGCAGCCTACGTTGTTTTGGTCTGGACTTCTATTCAATTCCACCAGATGTCTCTGATATCGACCCCGCCCCTTGCTGTTCGTCCCCCCCAACCTAGGGAAGGAATGTCTGTTCCATTCAAGACTCCCCTTCCGCAGTCCTCGATCCGCGTGGAAGAAGTGTTTATACAAGTGAGGATGAGCTCATGAATGTTATTCGTGGTAGTCACTGGAAGTGTGTTTGCACACTGGTATGGAAACAGGTGAACTCGATTTTTTTTAAAGTACACTCACGAGCACAGTTCGTCAATTTTAAGGTTATCTTACGCGAGTAACTTCATACCAGGTGAAAATCCACTTGGGTCCTATCACGAGAGAGTGAGTGGCACGTTGGCGAGATGTGCACATCGGGGAAAGATGCAGGTCCAACGTTGGCGCCAGGCGTGCCACGCTTGGCGGGGTGAGGCACGTTGGGAGGACGTTGCAGTTTCAGCCTTTCGCGAGCATCCCGTGTAGTGGGGATGCGGCATGGGATATCGCTCCGTTCAACGCGATCGCACGACGAAGTTTCGTCAAGATCGGGAAACGTCTCGGTTGCCCTTGCTACGACTCCATATTGGCGAACACGGTCTTGAGGCGCCGTTGCGACTCCTTCGCCGTTTCGTTCCTTGAAAGCAAAAATCCTTTCTTCCGTCGGTCTCGTCGTCGTTTCGGGCCCGCAAGCCGATCCGTGCTTTGGGGGCTGCTTATATCGGTCCATCGAGTACATTATTGCATGGTTCTCGGATCATTTCCCGTGTTCTTCGGAGGTACGGATTAGAAGTCCACCCTCTCTGCATTTGCTCATCTTGGGCTCGTCTGCCAGATTACTGACAAGAGAATATCTTTTCCATGGTGTAAGGAAAAGAAACGATCACTTTGCAAAAACGATTCCGACGGATCGCACGTGCATGCCAGCTGTGTTCTCAAGCCAGTAGTACGTTGGGGTGGAGCTAAAGGAGATTTGCACGTTACGAGTCTGGTACCAGTACGTGTATGCTTGTGTGTTAGATTGGAATCTAACACATCATTAGGTTAGACTGACGTCCAGGATTTATATTAAAATGAAGCTCTCGAGTGGATCGGAATCGCGTTTCTTTCCTTCATGGCACATACATTCTGCGTCGAAACTGGAACTCTTTGCATCGTGTACCTCTGGAATCATTACTGCCGATTGATTGACGTCTTCAAGTTAGATGTTCAATCTGTTGCAAATCAGAAGCGCCGTACCGAGGATATTTAGCGCCACCCTGTGCGACATATCAATCCAGCGGGGCCCCCCTCCCCCTCTAGCTTCCCCAGCACCAACAATACCTTACATATTAATTTCAATGTTTAATTTAGTTAAAATCAGGATAATTAGCGAGTTTTCTTTCAGTTTTATTCATATTTTGTAGCGATTTGGCAGACAATCGGCGTCCCCTCAAGTACGGCTCTGCCTCTCACTCCCTCGGTCCCCCCCCCCGTTATCTTCTTTCCTGCCACGTGTGATAGATACCTTGCCTAAATTCCCAAGCTGTTTCTTCGTTCCGACTTTCGTTTCCATTTCCCCATGAAGCGTATTTTTTTTATATCCTGAAAGCGATGTCTTTGTTTTTGTGTTTCCGTTTTCGAAAAAATAGGTCATTTTTGCCCAAGAGTGAGCCGTGCGAAAACGACAATCTTCTGCAAGTCATCATTTCATTTCAGCTCCTTGACGAAGCTTTTGTTTTCGGTCGTTTTACGAGACTGCACAAGTCAAAATTTCAGAGTAGATAGAGGTATCCTGGAGATCTGGGAGGGTCGGTTCGAATTCGATTAATTTCGACTAATTTTTTGAAATCGCGACGGCAAATGTAATCGATTATTCAGTTGACGAATCTGATCAACTGACAGCCCGAGAATAAAGCGATCGCTTACCTTTTCAAAAGCTTTAGATTTCTATTTCGGCTGTTCCGCAACTGGAGGGGCCACAGAGATAAGGCTCGGCGCTAATTCCTGCCGGCTCGCAAGGGGCTCAGTCGAGGTGCCCCCCACCCAGAAAGGGTTCACTTCATTGTTAGGATATTATGAAGCAAAACAAAATAAACCGAAACGAACCAACTTTAAAGTCTAAACTAAACCAAACCAAACCAAACTAAACCAAACTAAACTAAATTAAACTAAACTAAACTAAACCAAACTAAACTAAATCAAACTAAACTAAACCAAACTAAACTAAACTAAACTAAACTAAACCAAACCAAACTAAACTAAACTAAACCAAACTAAACTAACAAGAGACTTCGCAACTCCATTTCAGAATGTCATATCAGGTTCAGATATAGGGCTCTATCCGAAAATCCGGAGGCAGGATTATTAACTCCCCGACCTCCCCCTCGAGACGATAAGCTCGGTTAAGCCCAGGTCGTTAAGATGTGGCCCCTCCAGTTGCGATACAGCCTCTATTTCTAATCAGATGTACACAACGGTTTGAAGAACGTCCATTCACAGACGTAGTTCACATGGTCACAAACCAAAGCAAACGTAGAAAATGTAGCAAATTTACATGAAAATTTTAGACAAATAAAATTGCTTACCGTTCGCGAAGAAAAATTCAAAACGTCTGTGACCTCTGGCTTCAACTTACTGACTGATTCTTCTTGTCAGTCTTCCTGAACTGACATTTGATCATGTACTTTTCCCTCTAATCTTTTCCTGAAGGGTCTTCTGACAGGTTGAAAGAGGGGAGAAAACCTTTTTTTTAAATCTGTTTCACCGTCCAAATTTTACCTTAGGTAACAACTTTTTTGTAAGGGTTTTACAGAACATTATACCATGGAGAAGAATGTATATGAATATGAAATCTCATATGTGACAGTATTGACGCAAGTATTACAGTCGATTCACAGATTCATATTCGCAGACGAAAATTTCTCAACCACGGCAAAACTTTTGGTCATAGTAAACGTGCATTTTCCTAGATTACGCGCAACCCTTTTTTGGGATGACTTCAGCTTCAACTGAAAGAGATTTATGGTCTTTTTTTTTTTACTTTTGAAGGAATTTACGCTTATTGTAGAAAATGTATCATGGAGGTGAGAGGGGAGAGGCTAAAATTTCGTTTCGCATTGGAAAATCAGAATCAGCCTTTCTAATCTGAAAGGAAATATTAACGTAGAATTTGTACTGTTTCGTTTCAAGTAATCACGATGAATTCGTAAAATTTAAATCTTATTTTGTAATAATTCGACAGCCAAGCGGCACCGCTCGGCGCTGCAAATCAGTACAGACGTGGGCTCGAATTCTTATGTGCTAGATCAAAGAGAGCCATAAAACTCCAGCAGCATTCGATGGGAATAAAATGGGTCTGTGGGTAAATGATGGCGAGTTGGCTGGTCCACCGATCACTTTCACGTGAGACCAACGTGCCACGACAACGTTAGGCGACCGCGTCGGGTCAATGTAGAAATATTATCGAGCGGTCTCGGCCGAAAGGTCTGAGAAGAGGGTGCTCCTAGACAACAGAACAAATTACGAAGACGCGTTCCGTCACGCCAACTGCCGGAACGATGACGTCCCACAGCCCGTTCGACGACAGAAACGCAGAAACGCGGGCAGCTTGGGGCCCGACGATGGAGGCCCGAAATCGTTGGCTTCGTCGGCAGGCTCGACAGTCTTTGCCAGGAGAGAGTTCGAGGAAGGCTTGTCATTCCTGCCGACTGCATCATCGATAATGAGGTTCTTTCATACACGAATTCTGGTTCCCTTTTTAGTGGGCCTCCTTTCCTGAAAGAGACCACTTGTGGTCCTGTCCTGTCCGTCCGTGTGTTACACTTTGGTTGTCCGACAGTAACTAAAAAAAATATTGGCCTGATCAATGCGAAAATTGGCAAACGGATAGATATGAACAAAATATAGGCCGAGTTCGTTTTGTGACGATTTTTCACCAAAATTGGCAATTTTTATTGCACATATTCTAGATTTTAAATTTGGTCACGGAGGGGAAGGCACTCGTACCCGTTCGCCCTTCAGGTCATGGACCACAATGCGCATGCGCGCACGACCCAGGCTTTGAGCGCGACGCAGTGTCAGCAATTAGAGCTGTCAGTTCCCTACCAACCTTCGTGGCGGATGGATCCAACCACGCACAGTCCTCCATCCTCCCATTTCATAGACCACCACCGTTTCATAGGCACCGTTTGTCTATGTTTACCAAATATTAATGAGAAATGAGGTTTTTGATGGTCGAAGACTGGAAATTGTGATGGCAGTTTGTTCAATTAGGTGACAAAATGAGGGTTTTCTTAACTGAAAGGAGGCCCACTACTGGACTGGGCTTGCCCAACTTATTTTTTTTTTGTGAGATCAACTCTTATAATTGGGTCAGAGCGGTTCCTAGGGAAAGAGTGGAGTTGGGCCGAAAGGAGGCATAGCCTCGGGGCTCCAGGATCAATAATCACGGAAGCAGAGAAGGTTAGTAATGGATTAGGATTAAGGTTAGGATCTGTGCGTTAAAATCACTTCTCCTTGTTAGAGAGTAGTAAAGCCCTGGATAGCTAAGCTTGAAGAAAAACTAACCCCCATCCTCCTTCCCCCCCTCCCTACGTATATACAGTATATATACAGTCAAAAAGTCCCCGGAGTCGGGGCAGCATTTGGGCGCATGGCGCTCAAGTGGCATGCTATACACATCCCCCTTCAAAATAATCCCCATTTGCACTGATGCACTTGCACTTCCGCCAGCGTACATAGAGGACCTGGAAGCAGGCCTGGAATGCATCAACCGGAACGGTGCGAAGGGCCGCCGTCGTAGCGGCCATAACTTCTTCCGCACTGCCGAAACGACGACCAAGTAGCAGTTTAGGCGTGAAAACAGGAAAAAAATCACAGGGAGATGTCTGGGGAGTACGGGGGATGTGGAAGGACAACAGTGCTGTGTTTCGCAAGCTCCTGCTGCACGAGGACAGAGCGACGTGTCGGAACGTTGTCGTGCAACAACATCCAGACTTCGCTCTCCGCATGTCTGGGCGCCTCCCGCAGACGACGCAGCACTTCAACATACTGTTCCTTATTGACAGTAGCTCCTTCGGGAACGAATTCTTTATGTACGATGCCACGTACTTCAGTGCATCAGTGCAAATCTGGACTATTTTGAAGGGGGATGTGCATAACTTGCCATTTGAACGCCATGCTCCCAAATGCTGCCCCGATTCCGGGAATTTTTTTTTTACTGTACTACGTATATATCCATAATAATATAATAAAATAAGTAAAGCATCAGATCGTCCGAGTAGGTTTCTCACTCTCGCGCGCCCGTCCTCTCCAACGGAGATGAACTCAAGGATTATTTTCGAGAGACTTTTGCGGTCTTGGCGTTCGCGATCCAAGTCGGTCAGTTTGGTGATGTCGGTTTCGCCAAGCCTGTTTTACGCGATATACTACAAGAGGATGGAAGTTTTAATACACACAAGCTTATTCGGTAGCCCACTTGTAAGCGTGGCATCTTTAAGATCGACACATCTCTCACTTGCCCTTTGTTTCCTTCGAAGACAACGGCCAGCTTCGAAATATACCAATATAATTTGAAAAAAAATAAAAATAAAAATAAAAATAAAAATAAAAATAGCGGCGGAGCGGCAAGGGAAGGTGTTCGCCCTCGCAGATCCCTCGCCCCAAGGCTGTCTGGTACTTCTTGGCTCCCGTCTCACGCATTCCCTATGACTGTCTCTTTCCCCTTGTTGCGAGGATACGAATTCGGAGGAGGTGGGCGATGTGTAGTTCTGTCTCGAATGGGGCTCAGGATTCCTGGCGGTTTTCTCCTTCCCGGTTGGAGATACCCCACCGCTGGTTTTTTTTTTTGGAGTGGTATATTTGCCAGGTTGCACCTCACCTGTCTCAACGAAAACATCTGTCTCTGGGCCTTGTGGCATGCACGTTTGTCTTGATACTTCCACACAGGCCTGGAGATTGCCCCTTTGTCATATTCATGTGCCTGAAAAGCGCCCATGGACTCCTTCCTGTATCTGACACGAGTAGGATGGCAGTGTCTTGCTAGTTCTAATCGCCCTTGTAGACCGTTCGCGAAAGAATTCAGCCCCACGATGCAATCGGGCAGGACGAGACACCACACGACAACGGCTCGTGACATTTCCAGTTTTACGACTGACAACGCACTTTAGAGTTTGCACTTTTACACGGTGCGACGCGACAAAAGGTGGCTACGGAAGCTACGCGCGTTCTATCCGTGCTGTCGCGTCGGATCTGGTCTGCTTCTGGGTACTGCCATGCCAGTGAGTTCGATTTTTTTTTTTTCCTTCTTCATGCGACTCTGTGGGGAAGGGTTGTGCTTTCTCTGCACCTGTGTGGGATCACACACGGCGAGGCGGTTCTCGGGATTCGCTTTTTCCGATGATGAAAAGTTGCGACCTCAAAGAATCCCGAAAAGCTTCTTGAAACAGAACGAAAAAGCTTTTGGAATCAACGACGAAAGCCTCGACATAACTCAATGGATTGAAAATGATAATTTATCGAAAGCGAATCGAAACTTAGTGGACGAATCTTCTCAACAGTCGCTTTTGGGCCACGGTCAGTGTCATTGGTCGTCGAATCGGATCTCTAGGGTTGTCTCAAGACGTGAAAATCCCATCATCTTCGCACATTCTCCCCCCCCCCCCCCCCTTTCCCCTGTAGTTGCTACTTTATGACCTTAACCTTCGTTAGGTGCATAGCGGACTTTACAGAGGCTTCAATCCGTCAGATGAAAAACTTTCGAGCGAATCACAGCCTGTTTCCGAGCACGAAGAAGTGGGAATTCTCGTGCGTTGTGGTCGTGCAAGCAATATCGTAAAAGGAAAGCTTGTCGATGAAAAATCTTTGGTGTTCACGATGTGACGCTGCATTGGGGCATTGGCACGGGATCCGGGGAAACTTGACCTCGCAGAAGGAATAAAACCCAGAATCATCGAAAATCTGGGATTTCTCTTTAAAAAATGAGGGAAGCGAGGGATATAACAAATTAAAAATCCTTTCAGGGGGCATTCCCATTTCTTATGTCCTACTCTGTATTCCAACTCGATAGTCCAAACCTCACAAGGATGTTGCGACGCCTCTTCGAGTTCATGAAAATTGAGTTTGCCTGCTTTACCTCACGAAACAGGAAATCAGTGTACATCGTGTTCCCACGCACTCTTCAGACCAAATTGTCCATCTCGTCCTGCGTAGGTTTAATGCTACTTCTCTACGAGTGTTGGCATGTAGAAGGCGCTCCTGACGCCTTCTATAATTTATCATTCCAATGGATCAATCAAGGGGCGAATGCTTGCAATTCACGGTTCTCACCGACTTGGAACGCTTATGGACAAAACATGAGAATACCTAGTAGACCTTGACGCTCACACAAGGAAAAACTTGAGATTAAAGCTGCATGAATCCAATATGACTATGAATGACTTCTATGAATTTATTCTGAATCTTAGATGAGAAAAGAACGATTTCAATGAAAATGTAAAATCCCTTCAGACCTATTACCCATGGGTGCTGTCTCTAGCTGCAGGGAGCTGACATTCCTATATGTTATAAGGGTTAGATAAGAACATGAGGAATATAAGCGGGGTAGGTAGAGGAAAACTCAAGTGTATGTAGCTGACACCTAATGATGCATTTCCCATTCCCCCATTTGGTTGAACTACACACTTCCATGGTGAATCTGGAGGTTATAAATTATTCTAAAGAAAATAAATAATATTTAATAAAAAAACAGACACATGAGAGTCTTTTTGAATTTATTTCCATTAAATAAAACTTATTTGGGTTCGGAAGACAAATTGCCCTACTAACTGCTAAACCAAAAAAAAAAGAAAAGAGAGTTGGTACAAAATTATTCTTCCCCATCTCCATGATATAGTTCTACCTAAAATTTACACTTGGAAATTCTGTCAATTGCTCCTGTAGGGATGCCATTCGGATTAAATGTTCTGTTTCATCACCAAAAGAAGAAGACACTTCATTTCACAGTCAAACTCAAAATCCTGGAATAGGATTCACATGAAGAAAAACAATATTGGCATTTTAGAGAGCACAAAAACCCTTTGGTTGTCCTAAAAGAAAAACTGACAAATCTTGACATCCCAGAAGTGACTGGCCTTGTAGAAATCAAGTATGAGCAACAAGGTACCAGCAGATATTGCACCATATATGAAACAAATTTTCACGAAAACATCACAATCACAAACACAAACCACAGAATAAAGGGATAAAAAATAAGTGCCCCATACAAAACAGTATGGTACCTGACGTAAAGGTACAATAGTTCGGCACTCTAGTTCTTATTGGTATCAATAATCTCACCAGGACAATGAATGATTGGAATAATCACACTCTTTGATCCAAAATGCGTCCGAGGGACAATGAGTAAATTATCAGGAGCTTGTTCTTTTAAATCAATCTTTTTCTGATCACAACATAGAACTGAGCTGCATTTTTCAATCTGGTTTTCTTGCTTTAAAAACCCTTTAACTGCTACGTTCTCTTTCTCTACTCACCCATGCCGAGTTTATTTCATTTTTGGTGGGTGATGCTTTTGTGATATTTACTAAAAAAGGAGAAGCTCCCTCATACCATATTATGTAAGTGAATTACTGGACTAGTTTCCGTTGTCCTGGAAAATCTCTGGAATATCTGCCATGAGGAATGAGAAACTTCTGCTATAAAGTAAACTTGTTCGTAGCAATTAAAGGGTTAAAGAAGTATTTAATGAGAAATACAAGGTCCAAATGAGAGTGAAAAGAAATAAATAAAGTGCAGAATAAATATAGGGATAAAGGATACATAGGAAATGCTGTACGTAGAATATGGCTGAACCCAGAGAAACAGTTCTATGAAGTGCAGAAAGAAGCATACAATGGGTGACCCTGATCCAGGGATTACTGAATAGCATGGAGACTATGTTGAATCAACTTCTCATATGAAAGTATGTGGGCCCCAATCCCATTGATAGCACTAGGAGTACTACATTATACTTTATCATAAGCGCCACCCTTGTATGCCTCTCTGACTCCTGATTATTTACGCATTGTCGGCTAATAGTCAATCTTCTTTCTTGGATATGCTGAAACAGTGAATGTTGAAATGCTTGCACATCTGACGGACCTATAACATAAAAAAAACAAGCCAGGATGCAGGCCACATTTTATTATATCCAAGTTAAGCAAGGCTTGTGCCTGGAATGCTGAATGCTTACCACACAGATCCCATAGTGAATGTGGAGCAGAGTCACACCCCCAGTCAGGAGCCACAGAATGTACTTCTCTGTACTGGCTATGCCAGCAGGCAGGCACAAGACAATCCCAAGGGCGACAATAACTGGGACCAGAATCCAATGGACTAGATCGCACCTTGTATCACTCATTTGGTTCACTATCAAACGACACTGGAATAAAGAGAAATAACGCCGATTCCAATAAAAATGGCATAACAAATTCTATTCTGAAAAGTGAAAGAAGAGCACCAGGAACACAACTTTTCAATAACCAGAATATTAATAGGACTTTTAATGGACTTAACATGTCACCTGGCTAAGTCATCCATTTCCATAACACACCTTAGATCTTCTAGTCACTCTATTGGTAATAGAATTGCCTCAGCATATTCTGCCTCCCAGAAAGTAGTATTAATGTATCTAGGGATATGACAAAGATAAATGGAGTCACCAAGCTAGTTTAACTAAGTTGTCTCCATGTATTTACTACAGTTCTTATCAGAGAGGTAAATGACTCCCTCCCCCTGTTTATGGACCTTGATTCTATCAATTTGGCAACAAGGCCAATTCCCCAATATGCTTGGGATTATTTCAATACAGAGACAATTCAACATCTGTACCCTGGACTTGGAACAGAAAGCATAAAAAACATTGGTTAGAAAAGTTATCCCTGCCTTAGATAAAAATGGATTTTTAAATTCATTTAATTCATCATCAGATGGCTATACTTCAGTCCAGAGGTCAGGAACCTTTTTGGCCATGTGAGCCATATTAAGATTGAGCTAAGTGCTTGCGAGCAAAAGATTTTTAGAACAGAATTTTTCCTGAAGTTGGCAACAGACACATGCAATCTTTGATACTTGAGAAAAATGAGGAACAATCATGATTTTCAGCCATGACTCAATGAGCCAAATTTGGCTTATGAGCCATAGGTTCCCAACCCGTTTTAGTCTGACCAAGCAAACCAACCGAGCAGCCAAATTAGTTTTATTTGTATGAACTAATACATTTCTTTCTCCTACAACATGCAGACGGTTACTTGCTTCTTACATTCTTAGGGTGGATTTTGGCATATTGAATGGCCCATGGTTTCTCTTATAACAAAGAAGGAAATGAAAGAATGACTACAAGGCCCTAATAAAAGTATCAGGTTCAATTTGAAGCTAACGTCTCACCCCTTTCCAGTGGAAATAAATGCTATAAATACCAAAGGGTACATGAGTTTGTGCTAACTTCAGTTCTGATAACTCTGAAAGACATGTATGAACCACAAGACTATTGATGCATGAAACTCACGCAAATATTGGAGACAACAGTCCCTGTCATGAAGTAGAAAGCCCTTGGGTCAACCACAATGATATTTGAAGGCGAGTAGGCAATCCACACCATGCATGAGGTGAAAAATAATGCCAGGGAGAAAAATGGTCGATTTGCTTCAGTGAAGCTTCGCCCTTTCCCAGTTCCATCCTTGTAAGCCCTGAGAATCCAATAAAACAAAAAAGTTTCAGGAATAGGGGAGTGATGAGCAAAATTGTACACAAGACTACTTCAAAGAGAAATAGCAAATAGTCAATTCAATAACTACTTCAAATAGATAATACTACTTGACAAATACCCTCCATGTATTCCTCAAGTAGCATTTTCTGGAGCTTGTCTCTGAAACTTCTTACTTGTAGATGTTGTAGAAAGACATTGGAAGACTGATCCCCAAGGAACCAGCATAGAGCATCATTTCACAGAGGATGCCGGCTGATACACTAGTACCAGGCAAGTCAAACTTCCACATTGAGTATCCCCCAAAAAAGGTCAGGGAGAAAATGAGAGTGGCTACCTGCAAAAACACATGGAACCAAAAAATGAGATCTACTTAAAGAAGGAAACTACATGCCTAGGTCACATATGACATGTTGGGCAGTCTAAAAAAAAAATTCTCAACTTTATATGCCTATAGATGACACATTATGCAAAGTATTATCTTGGCATTTTTAAGATGTCATATCCAATGAGCACAAGTGATTTAATAACTTTGAGTTAGTTCCGAATCCAAGTAGTAGTTCCAGTTAATGTCAAAATAGAATGAACCTGTATGCAACCCCGGGATTTTTACTCTTCACACAATGAAACTTGTATTAGCCCAATAATAGCAACAGGTCTCTCATTCAAAAGATCATATACAAAAAAGCTATTAATTGGGTTCTGAATAACCAATTTCATGGAAATTTTTTGAAAATGTAGACTTATTTTAGATGAGTAAATTTCCTGTTTATAACTTGCACAGTGCTTCAACTGCAGTCAACCACAGGCATGTGGAATTTCTGGACTGTGTGGTGTCATCCAAAACATGTGAATAGTTTTCTGAAAAGTTCATCAAAATTATTGTGTGTAATCCAAGAGACAGCTTATTTCTGCACAATGTTAAATGGAGCAGGGGTTTGTCTCCCTAAACTGGTGGACTGCAATAGGTCATGTCCCATGGTGTGTGAAGCAAGTGCCCAGTGTATGCAGACATATTTTCTACTTTTGCATTCCATAAGGAAAAAGAGGTTACTCTGATTCAAGACCAATTTAGAACCAGATGAAAGTACCTGCAAGTTTTGCTGATATCCTGCAAAATTGCCTGCAGATACCATGAATGGTGCATATTTTTCAGGCATACAAAGTTTGGGAACTTTCTTTGGCCACCTGGGTATTGAGGGAATGACAAAGAAAAACAGACCAACTATTAAATAGTACATCTCTGGTCTTGCTGGAGCTGTTTTTATGATACATGCTCTCTGCATAGGCTGATACACTCCCAGCAGACTTATCAAGGCAAGGCTATGAGTAATGTTGGACATTGAATATGGAGAGTAACTCATGCTGGTAAATTGGATAGAACTACTTTGGACATGGGCAAACAAAACCAAAAACATTTTTGGGATTGTACACAGTTAATCTCATCTGAGAGAGACCAATGGCTGGCACTCTGTGCCAGTTTAGGTGTGCCACCAAAGTCACTTCAAATTTAGTAGGATGGACTACAGGGTGCTCGCATAGATAGAAGAATCCCCCCCTTGACAACACATATAAGCATAGTTACCTGGGCTATGTATAATTTCAGGATCATGCTAATTCATAGTATATACATTTCACCCATATTCTTCCTTTCCTTCCAGAGGGTATGCTAAAGGGAGAAAGTTAAATTTTTTGAACCAACATGAGAATCCATTTTGCATTTGGCTTATAATGTTGGGGTGATTGCCTTTCAATAATTGATCACCTCAAAAATTAAAAGACTGAAAAAAGTTGGGGAAAAGGAATTTCTGTTTCTGTGAGCTCCAGTTAAAATTCTGATTCTTTCCATGACCTCTTCTGATTCTTTTTTAGTTTTTTTTTTGTGGAAATCCTTGCTTTAAAAAAATTATAATAAGAGAGAGAGAGAGCGAGAGGAGAAACCTCACATTAGCATCACAAGCCTTGCAAAACGCATTTGTTCATATTCAATTAAAAAAAAAAAGCCTTTTGCAATCAGGAAAGAAAAAATGTTGCATATACTATGAACGATTACTGTCTTGAAATTAAATGTGTCCCTGGATAATTACCCTTAAGGTCATTAACTTGGTACACCTGGTACATCCATAGAGAAAGGTGAAGGTGAAGGTGAAGGTGAAACAAGCAACTTACCACCATAGAAAGGTCATATCCCCATGGCAGGAAAAGAAGACCCGTGTTGTATTTCTCCCAATGTGAGACATAAAACATTCCAAAAACATTCCAAAGGCAAAAATACATTCGTAAAGGTCCAATGCTATAGTCACTGGACCCATAAACACTGTACAAACATGCAGGTATGAACAAAGTTGTCCAAGAGTCGAGGCCATGATCAAAGAGCTCCCCGAGAGGACCACTTGTTTTAGTTCTTCGAGCCTGCTTCCCATCAATCCCATCTGTAGAGAAGAAAGAAAGATCAGCTCAGATAAAAGTTTTCAATGCTGGCAATCAGTACAATATGGTCTTACACAGATGCAAGAATTGTAACTTCAAGGGAGTGAAAAAAAAAAATGTGCAGGGGGAATACAAAGGGCTTGATGTATTTCAAAATGTTTTAATTTGAAAAGGAAACACTCCCTACTATGCTTTCCATAGCTAAGACACTTCTGTATATTACTTCAGAATTGGTGGATTGCATGGATGATGAAGTTTTACAGAATTTCTTGAAAATTAATAAATAAAAGTTGCAACTTTCACACGGTATGCAACTGATTTCAATGCAATTCCATATTTTACAAAAACCCATATGGGTCAGGTCAGACCTTGGGATCCATGAAATTGGGCTTTCATCAATTGTTTAATGGAATGAACATGAAAAAAAGTATAAAAAAATATCCTACAAAAGTGTGGGGGGCCTCAGCTTGTAAAAAGAACTGCAGTTTCAATTAAACACTTTTCTTCAAGTAAAACCATGATAATTGTCAATTTTATGAACTCATGATACAGCACCTAAACTGGGATCTCTTGGAGTTGCCATTTAAAAAAATGGAATCTGATGTTAACCAAGTGTTTGAAAACTCATAACCATAGGATGCTTAATGTATGTTTTCATTCGCCTAAGGTAGTGATCAGATGTCCTGGTTTTTCAGGCTATGTCCCAGTTCAAATTTTTCTTTTAATTTTGGTGTGCTGGCTTTTCCACATAGTAAGGACTAACATCTGGACATTTTCTTAAAATTTCCCAGTTTTTCCTTAAAAAAAAATGAATCCTGGTAACCATACCCTATGGTGTTTCCCTTCTCAACTTAATTTTTTAGTCTGTCCAGTTGTTTGTGTTCATCCTGTACAAAATAGTGTCAAGGTCAATAACACCCCCATTTTAGAATAATTCAGCGAATTTGTTTAACTTGGTCTGTGAGCCCACATTGGATGAAGCTTGAATACTTGTATTATAATTATGTGGGGACAGTCAATTTACCAAGGGTGTGGGCAGCAAAAACGCAGAGAGCTGATGCAAGCCATGCCCACTCGGGTATAGGAGGATTCTTTGGAAATGTGTCACTTGAGGCACGAAACTCATAGTCATACACAGAGAACAGAAGAAAGTTCAGCACAGTCAGCATGAACCCTGTGAAAGTCAGGACATTGGGAGCCACCCATTCTGGAAAGAACTGGAAGAAAAAGATCACATTAAATAAATCAAAAGAACAAAGAAACCTAGTAGGAAGACTTGTATCGCATGGGTCTTGGTAATCATTAAAATAATGAAAACTGTCTTGAAGTCAAAGGTAAGACTATATATGGAAAATTCCAAACAGTGTCCCAATGGATCACATGACCACTCCCACCAAGAGGTCCTCACAGTCATGAAAGATGAATGATTCAGTCCCTTAAACAGAAGTCATGAATAGCACAGTGCCTTTCACTTGAGTAATGTATTCCTCCACTTTTCTAAAACACCCATGGAAGTGTGTCAGGGTCAAGTAAAAAGCACTGCATACAGTAAAAAAAATTCTCACCCTATCTTCATGTAAAACTCAACTACTTAATGAGAGGTTTTACATGACTGATATTTGCATGAAATCATTCATTTGCATTCAGCAAGGCTAGAAATGAATTCTAATAAATAGGATCACAATATTTTTCAACTCACTTTCACAATGGAATTCCAAAAGGGGTGCATAACATAGATACTCAGCGGATTTGTGTCCACGGAACTATACTGAAAACAGAAGGAATAGTATTTGTCAATTTGTAGCTGGGGTACTGTTGTAAATGTCTTGCTTGTAGGCATGCTCAGGACCACCAAAATGAATGGGCAACAGTTGCAACTGCCATCAACAGCATAATTTACAAGTTGCATAAGGAGCTAAGTGTTACATGGTGAATTTTTCAGTCAAGAGAAAAATCATTACTGCATCAAATTCTTGCAATATTTAAAAAGTTGATGAAATTGTAGCAGTAAAAAAAAATGGCAACAAAAAGATAATAAAAAAATAAGAAAACAGGTTGAGAGAGTTTTACCAGGCCTGAGAAAATGAAGAAATATTGTATTTGCCAAAAAAAACTCTCTGACTTATGGGCAAATTAAGCAAGTTCAACGACTCATTACTATTGTCTAGTGATAAAAGCTACATGGACTTGGACAAAAGCTGCAGACCATAATGGTACTGGGTGAGAAGTGCTACCAGGCCATGGGTCTGGTATTCTCAGAACAACCAAAACAGACATACTGGAATGCAAATCATGTCAAGTGAACTGACCTTGTAGTGTTCAAAGCCAGCAAGATGTTCTTGAGAAAGATACTCGTAGTCAAACATCCTTGCCATACTGGAAAAATGTGTGAAATCACAGATCTGTGTTCACTGAAATCAGACAGAAACATGTAGATGACACTAAGGAGTTAAGATAGCTATTTCAAATATTAATGCAGCAGGATATCTCCTTAATACAGATACAACTTGCCACATGCAGGTTGCACCTGTTTCAAGGTAAACCTGGAGAGATTCCAAAATCCTTTTGCTTCAATTCTGTTAAACCTATATTATGGGAGGTGCCAGGTTTAGGTTGTTTTTTTTTTTAGGTTCAGCTTCCTTCATCTTATCTTATAGATACGTTAAGATTGCAATCATTCAGGGTAAATGTGATAGAACTTCCTAAGTTTCAACATGAAGCATGAGCTACCCCTTCACTATTTACATAATAAATTTATGGGGGAAAACCCTGAGTTTCTTCTATATGACACCTTTGTTAACTTACAGTACAAGTTCAAAGGATAAAAAAAGGGCAAAAGCTAAAAAGAAAAACTGAGAAAATGAGTTGCTAAACATGAAAGGCAGTTTTTCCAGGAAGGCACCATTTTCAAGGCCAAACTGAAACTGAAAGGTTAAAGGAGCATCCAAAGAACATCAGAGGGTTGTGATACTTTGTGTGTGCAGAAGGTATACTTAACTACTGCAGAGTGGTTGTTGTTTATGGTGAAGCATGTTTGTCCTGCAGATGAGTATATGAATGGTGCAATATGTTTTGTGGTGGATGCTTCTATGTTGAGGACAAACCCAGACCCAGATGAGCAAATATCACCATGGATAACAGACATCCTGAAGGTGAACCAAGTGATTAGAGCAAGCAAATGCATGCTTCTGGATGCTATAGCCACAGGGGGGGGGGGGGATTGGTCATCAGTCTGTGCACACAATTGTTCAAGATCATCTCCAGTACCATTTGATGTGAGCCAAATGGTTACCAGTGTCTGACCATATACCAGAAGAATATCCACATAGGTCATCTCGCACATCTGCAGTGCAACCCATTTGAAGGGGACAACATTTTGCCAGAATTGTGGCATGTGATGAAACCTGGTGTCATCATTTTGACCAGTGGTTCTCAACCAGTGTGTGGCAAGTAAGACTTAAGTGTGCAGTGAGATTTGAGAGTAGACAACAAAAAAAAACTGAAACTAAAAAAAATGTTAAATAAGAGGGAATGCCTTCTTTCAATAGAAAATGAGCTGAGAGTTGCACTATCGACAATCCCACCTTATATCAAATTTCTGTGTTCAGCAAAGCAAGCACAAGTTTCTCACTGAAAGTAAGAAAATGGCTGGGTGTGCCATGGAAAATTCAAGAGTCTTTATGTGTGCCACAAATAATAAAAAGGTTGGGAACCACTGACTTTGACATTGACAACCAATGATAAGGATGTAGAGGGGCCAGTGACACCATTTGAACAACTGAAAACACAAAGTATGTAAACAGTAATTCAACTTATCCAATATAAATCTCTTCTATTCCTACAGATACTTTCATGTTGCCTATGCTGTACTGATACTTTAAAAGAAATTTTCCAAATGTTTTCAAAGTCGTTGTACCAAGGCAAGTCTATGGCAAGGCCATCCAACAGCAACTTGAACTTGAGAATAGACAATAGCCCATGTTAGTAATCAAGTGGAGGAAATGCCTTCACATTATAAGTAGTTGCTGTTGAGGCTACACTGAACATATCTAGCATTAAAATTCGTTCTTCGAGCAAGCCTTGCTTTCTAATTACTAACTTAACTCAAAAGGTTTCAATGCAGAAATGTTGCTCTAAATCTGGCAAGCCTTAGCCTTAGGCCTAGGTGTAGGTTTGTGGTCAAGTGAAAGATCGAACAATAAGGCGTTATGAGCCAACAAGACCGGGTATGATAGATATCCTAGACAAGTGGAAACCTGTCAGACTCTACAAAAAAAAGCGTGGAAATAGACTAAAAGGGACTTCCATAATTCGCTGACACTCATTCAGGAGGCCTGATACTCATACTAATACTCAAATGATAACACATCGAACTCAATGAGTAAGGTGATTTTCGAGCACAAGCCGCCACAAGTCACACCACCCTACCATAATGCCCTCCCTCCCATGCGGCCATCGTGTGCGTCATTGCCAGTTTTACGTCAGACAGCCGTAAAAACGGCGCAGGTATTAGACACGGTAATGGCTTCAGAAAAATGCTGGGAATGAATGTCTGGCGGAAGTAGGTAACAACCAAGAGAAACTACAGAAGAAAATATGTTCTTTAACTAGCTTTGGGTGACACGTGATCCAAAGTGACGGCGTTTGGTATACAACTTGATGAATGCACTAGATCAGTGGTGCCCAATCTTTTCGGCTTGGGGGCTACATAGCTCATATCACGTGCCATATTAAGCTACTAGTATTATAGAACATTTAAAGGAAACCTGAGGGTATTGTGGGTTAGGGCCTCGCGGGCCTCACCTCGAGGGTCACTTTTTGCCCGCGGGCCACGGGTTGGGCACCACTGCACTAGACCGTGATGGGACAGCCCTGGCCTTCAAGTGTTCTAATAATAAGAGAGGTAACAATTTTTTGCATTCTAGACAAACAAAATAAATTTCAGATGCAAATAGTTATCGTAGGGGGTGAAAACCAAAGATCCTCATTCCGCAACGCTGATAGGAAGACCTATGGCGGAATCTTTCGACCTGGACTTGAGCATGGGCAAAGGCACACCTCCCTGGTAGAGTCCTACACCGGTTGCGGGACAGTCCGACCCGATCTGCGGACTGAAATATTGAGATTCCTTTTCAGATTCGAGCTCCGGTTTGTCTGTTTTTTAAACGGAATTTCGAATGGATGTACCAGATCTGCTCAACAGTAATTAGCTGTAAACTAAAGATATTCTATATTTAGCGTATGGGAACAAGCTTATCTTCGACAAACCATTTCAAGTGCCCGTCGTGAATCGCTCAAATCAGCTTAGTTATACGCATTCACTCTCAAGGTCCAGTTCAGTGGTACTTGTCAAAATGTTTGGTCATAATGTGCAATCAGAATAAGCTGATTTAAGTATACATACTAACTCTACCCATGCCCTTATTGTTAGCACATTTAGGTATACGCTACTCTTGGAAATTTTCACTTATGTATCTGCTGTACACCCTGAAATGGTGTACATTAACTGGTCCAGTTAATGAGATATCTCGACACTCGATTAAAATTCGCCTGGTAATCTTTGGGTTAAGGGGTAGTTCATAAATTACGTAACGCAAGGGGGGGGGGCAGACACGTGGAGGGAGACACTTTATCTAATCCCCCCCCCCCTTGCGTTACGTAATTTGTGAACGGCCCCAAAGAATAGCCTCTTTGTATATGGAGAGGCTATGGTTTTTGTGCATACCACCGTCTGAGGTGGCATGCCATGAAATATAATTTAGAGTAATACCATTTTAGCAAGAGCTGACTAAGTGACATTAAGCAGATATTGACTGAATTTATGAAATGAGGAAGAAAATAAAGGCAGCATACTCTTTTTCAACACGGAAGGGTTGTCCATGAAAACAAGTGGGGGATCGACTATTGGGTCGGACTTGGTCTAATGATGCGGGCCGGCCGATAAGTTCCGAATTCCAAAATATCTGTCCGTGGAGGAGTCTACTCCTTCAGCCCTGCTTTCCCTAGTTGTTTTCATGTGTACACGATAGTATTCAAGTTATTAAATTCTGAACAGAATGTTATGGTGAATGTCACTGTCTAAGTGCAAGCCAAATGACGGAGCTTGAAACAAGTTGAGATCTACCTCTTCAGCTGATATCTCCTGGACTAGGCCCACATCACCGTAGTCCTCCATGACCCTATCTGACGCCACTATCAACTGAAGCAATGAAAAAGTTTGGCCTTGGCCTGCTGCGAAAGCCAAGGCCTGGTTCAACAACGTTAGAGACTGTGTCAAATCCCAATGAACCCAGGAGTACAGATGGCAGTGACGAGGATCGTGCCGAAAGAACTCAGGTTCATTCCTCTAGTAATGGTGCTGAGCTACAGGAATCTTCGCATCGTTCCAGTTATCTGTCCCGTATTCCTTTCTTGAAAAAGCTCAGAAGAAAACGTACAAAGTCATGTGGATCGGGAGAGGTGGAAACAAGGCAGGGTGCCTCAAAGATTATAAATGGGAATGCAGGTGCAGATGCATGTCACTTGTCAAATAGAGATTTGCATGTATCAAGCGAGACTGCAGCTACCAGCGATAATGATAAGAAAGGACTTGACTCTGGTGTCAGTTCACAGAGTCCTGTGTATGAATATGCATCCTTGGAACCAGCGAAGGATCTTATTCAAGATGGCAAAAAGAAACCAGAAGAAAATCTCATTGAAGAGTTGTTTCGCCTCTGTGAATATGGATGGTATTGGGGACCCATTTCACGAGGTGAAGCCGAGTATCAGCTGCAGAATCTTTCAGATGGATCTTTCCTTGTACGGGACTCCACTGATGACTGCTACCTCTTAGCACTGACCTTCCGTTCAGCTGGCAAAATACTCCACACTAGAATTGAACAAGTGAATGGCATGTTCAGCTTTTATGTCAATTGTAGTGAGGACAGATTTCCAAGCATAATTGCTCTCATAGAGAACTCTCTGGAAACTTCACAAAATGGTGTGTTTTGTTACTCCCAGTTGAGAGAAGGCGATTCCCCCCATTTTCCAGTCAGGTTCACACATCCAGTATCACGCTTTGCAGAAGTGAGGTCCTTGCAGTATTTGTGTCGCTTTGCAATTCGTAGACAGCAATTGCATGGATTCATGTGGAAGCTGCCTCACATGACAAGAATTTGAAGGACTATGACTTTGCCACTTTCGTATTAATTGTCATAAGCTTATAGCTAATATCAATGTTGCTTCAAATGAAATGCTCAAAAACAAATGTGTGTTGTTACCTGTTGCTACTTTTTGACAAGGCCTTTGCCATGAAAGAGTTTTATACTTGAAATTGTGCCAATTTTGACGGTATGGATAGGCCTCTTTGTTGTATGGTGTCATAATTGACTGTAAGTCAGAGTCTGTGTAGGGTTAAACTAGCTTCCCCATCATAAAGTTTGTGATGAAAAACTCTATGAAAAACATTGTGCAGTTTGGTCAGATTTGTATTTATTGAAGCTATGATTACATACAGTTGTATGGGTGTTATTTTCTTATGTTGTATACATCCTGCTACACAAACTATGCAGGCTTCTTCATGAGATAAATGAAATTTTTTTATTTTTATGCCCAATACTTAAGATGCTGGTATGAACATGAGACATGGCATTTGTTGTGTTTAGTTTTGTAGCTATATTGAAAAGGCTTTTTGTAACGAACCCTGTAGCTCTGCCATTGCCAAAATCATTAAGAGAAGTGATGAAGCATTTGCTCAGTTGCTCTGAATCCCCCTGATAAAAGCATAGCATTGGTATTTAAAGTGTTCCTCCAGATCTTCAGTACGAGAGGCTTATTGGTATTCTCTCTTCATGGTATTCTTGGTGAAAACAGTTTGAACAGTTGTATGAACAGTTAGAAAATCATCCCTATTGGTGTTGTTGCATCATTCCAGTCTGATGTGTGCAGTAATTATTCATTCAAATCTCTCAGGGCAAATTAAGTTTTGGGCATGAGCTGACTGGGATTGTCTCATATCAAAACTTGCTCTGTCAGCCTGAATTTGTTGCTCCAAAATTTCTATATGATTTGTTTCATTCATGATTTGTCATGTTGACTCATTGCATTTCTTTCTACTAGTTTCATAATCTCTGCAAATGCATTTAGTTCTGCTTTGACTGCATATCTTCAAAATCATGTTTCACTCCATTGTAGCTCAGTATAGTGTCTTGCTTGCATACAGGCTAATGATGTTGTAAATATGATAATCTAGAAGAACCGGTGAAAAAAAACACACTTGAAAAAAAAAAAAAGCATATTTGTTCTTTGTATTTAGTGACAGGGAAAAGCATTTTATTTTGTTCCCATGCACTTTTTGAATTAAATGATGTTCCTGACATCCAACTATCCTTCTTTTTACCTTTCACCATATTCTATCCTGGGTATGGTCATTGCATAACAATATTTGAGGCACTACATCTCTATGTAGGTTCAAGGGTTCACACTAGGGGTATGTTCTTTCCCCTTTGCTTCCTAAAAAACTCTTGCAATACTGCAGAGAACATTTTCAATATGGAATCATCCTTTAAACCCCTCTACAGTGGTGTCCAAAAGTACCTGTGTCACTTCCCTCTTAAGGCTTTGCTTATCCCTTTCTGATTCTACTTTTTAATTTTCCAGACCCTCACTCTAGAAAGTGTCCCGTTGTTTTTACTTGAGTTGGCTACCCACTTTTCATATCAGTAAGCACAGGCAACTGGAGGATAAATATGTATGCCAAATTTCATTACTTATCTTAGGTGTAAACTTACAAAAAGTAATCAAGTTACTTTTTGTTACTATTCCCTGTGCTTCATACTGCTTGATGGGCTAGGCTTTTCACACCAAACTTAGGCTCCCCTCATGCTTCTAAAGGCCATCATGGTTGCCTCCTCAGAATACACATTGCTGTAGAAAATCCATGACTCATTTATGGAAAAATTACATGAAAGGAACTAGTACAATTTTCAGATGGCAATTTGCAATGTAAATATTTATTTTTGCAGGCTGTAACTTTAAACTGGAACTAGTTGCACATGAAAAGTAACTTCTCCCATCTTTACCCAGGCCCAGCTTATGATCAACAGACAAAAAAATGCAAGAGTAATCTTTGATGGACCTTTTCAACTTTAGAGGTGCTAAGGATTTCCCCACACAACATCTGATTTTCTGTCTCTGACTCAATGTTGCATCATGTTTGGCACCTTTAGGACTCATTCATACAGGGTGTATAGAAAGTGATGAGCAACTTGTGCTTACTTTCGAAATTTCAGAAAATCATTGTCAATCATTTATTATTGACAATATCCTAGAACATTGATAATTTTGTCAGGTGTTCATGTCAGATTTGTTTTACAAAGAAGCTTTTGAAAGGGTGGTGTGGAGTATCTGAACAAGAAAAATGAGAAAATCAAGTACTGTTTTTAAACAAAATCCAATGCAGGTGTGCAATAAAATTCAGTTTTATCACTGTATAGGTGCCCCCTCCAGAAGCACAATGATGAGACTTATTGAGAAATTCCACAAAACTAGCTGAAAGCAGATCGACCTTCTGTAGAAGAAAATTATGAACTAATGGAGACTGTGGTAAAGGCAGTCAGCTCTTCACCCATGCTCACCAAGAGGGAGTAAACCTCTCCCTAAGAAAGAGGACCTGCTTTTGGCAAATATTGCATGGCACCTATTTTTTAATCAAATAGTTCATGGAAGGTGTAGCTGCACAGTGATGAAATTCTTGGAATTTCATTTTGCACATCAGCAAGGGATTTTGCCTCAAATAAGTTACTTCAACTAATTTTTTTTATTGGGGTACTGCTTACCACTCCTTGGAAAATAATTTTTTTTAAATCTGACAGAAACATGGGACAAAACTATCATTCCAGGGTCTTCCCTATAAAGATTTCATTAAGCTAAAAAAAGGCTAGTTGACAAAAGTATCACTTTCTGTACACCCTGTACTTGGTGTGTTCAGGAAGCATTGGTAAGTGAGGCACAGCCTCTTCATCTTTCAAGGAACAGCATCGAGTAGCTAAGCACTTTAATACCTACGTTCCTTCAATGCTGATGTGAAACTTCAGCTTTGTATCTAATTTCACGAATTTTTTTTACTGGCTTTCAAAGCAGACTTGGTTGATTGAATTGATTTTCAATTGAAATTCAATTCACCAATTCTTCCAGAAATTAAGAAGGTTATATCAAAATATTTCACCCACAAAGTATATAATGCTACCAGCATTCATTAACAGTTAGAAGAAGTATGCACCCTTCAAGCAAGAATAGTTCCTCAGTGGATACAGCAGCTTTGAGATGGATAACCCTTTGTGCCTCTATGGAAAAATTAGCCCATCAGCAGTTGACATGACCAACTACTTAAAAAGTTCATAAAAAATTTAAATTACATGAGATACAAAGCTGAAATGTCATACATGTATGGAAGGAATATAGCTATGAAAGTACTCAGTTTTACAGTGCTGTCCCAGGAAAGATGAAGGAGCTCTGTCTGATGATTGCTACTTATTGAATGCACCTTATACATTCAAGAAGCTGTATATACAGGTTTTTCACAAATTATTGATACAATTCTTTTTTTTATTTATTGACTTGTGTCCCCTGATGGGTGGCCTGCAGTGAGTACCCAGCAGTCACCATCTGATCCTCTGGTGGGAAAGGTTGTGCATCCCTGTATTAGTGGCTTGAACCATGTCCAGGCGATGATCAATTTCTGCCCACGTACATGCCAGGATCTCTGGTGCAATTGTAGCCTCAGTTATGTGGTGCTGCAAAGTCTCCCAATTTGCAATATTTGTCTTGTAAACAATGTCTCCCACATACCCCCACAAGAAGTCCAATGGAGTGATGTCAGGAATGTGGAAAATGGCACACTTCCACATTGGAGCCACCTTGTATGGCAGTTTCTGGATTAAACATTTCCTGGAAGGTGGATCAGTTTGGTGGTCCAACTTTGTAGAGGCCACAAAATTGGGTCACCATATGAGAGCTTTTAGGAATTTACCCAAAATGGCCATTTGATTGGAGGAATTGAAGTAGTCAATCTACCAAGAAGACTTGCTTTTTCTCTTGGTTTCTTTCATTCAATAATCACTGACCATAGAATTATAGATGAAGTTCTACTAATGTATGCAGTCCATTGGCATGTTTCACACATCATCAAGGAGGCAAGGAAAATCTTCAGCTCATTTCTGACACTTGCATTACATGATACTTAGCAATTTGGATATCTTAATGAGCCCTTTTAGTTTGGAAACTAGTATAATAAGTTTAATAGTAAAGTGAAAGGTGTTAGATGGAAACCCTGGTAATTACCTATACCTAGGAATCTTTGAAGATGCCACTAAAAAGCCAATTCTGGGAGAAAATTTTATTTTTTAATGAGCTGAATGGTTCACCAGAGATGAGTAAAAATAAATGGCACATGACAGCACATTATCTGTCCTTGTTCAGGCTCTACCACAGATTCATACATACATAATTCTGGGTATACCCTGGCAATGACTATGTATGTATATCAGTATAAGAAAGGCAGACTGGCAATGGAAGTGTATAAAATAGTTATATAATTAAATACCTAATATTGCTATTCCAGACCCATGTCAAAAACTCACAATTTGGCAATCAAAAGGGCAACATTGCAGCAGTCATCTTGTCCATTCCACAAAACATGTTGCACTTTTTTGCCTTGAGCAAAAAAGTGCAACAACAAGTCCTTCTTGCTCATGATATTCATGTGATAAGTAAACGATGAGCACAAACTTTATGACTGTTGAAGAGAAGGAAAAGAGATCACCTTGATAGTGAATTTGATCATTCTTATGAATCTGAATGACTTCATCCAAGGGAAAATACAATGAACTCATGAAATTCCTGAAGGGGAATCTGAGATGAAGGTCTCATCTGTTCAGGCGATTGAATCCAATGATATTGCGGACCTACAGAGGAATAAAAAATACAGATTTGTACACATTTGGGGTATCCTACCCTATGTTGTCAATCCCACAAACCAATTCAGATTATTCCTACACTTGTCTAATTGAAAAAATTGGACAGAATTATTTGTGGCTGCTTATGCACTCTTATGCTTAGGATGTGAGACTCCTCAGCACAGCATGTAATTTTGGCTTAGAACAGTAAAATTCATTTCTTACTTGATCCCCAGGATAACACAAAATTAAACTCACAGTTGTGCTGCCACCTTTCAGGACCTGACCCATGACTTCTTGTAATGAAGACAGCCCTTTTTGGCCTGAATGGAGCAACTTCATTTGCCTTTTCAAGAAAGACCACGTTGCTTCGAACTCAGGGGAGTCATCCTGGACAAGGTGAAGTTCAGTGGTTTGGTAGATTCCAGCTAGTACCAGCCTCTTTGTATACCAGCTTGTCTGCAAGATGTGGAAAAGGACTTATCCATCCATCAACAATCAAAACTTTGAAAGTTGGTCTGCTTAGGTTTGAGTATGGAATCATGACTGAAATTTCTGAAAGTAACACATTCATAGCTTGAAACTGATCTAAGGAATGGCTTTATAATAAGACTGTATAAAACATGAACTTTTTCATTTTCCTCAATTAGTAATGTTTGTTTACTCTGTGCTGTAAAGGCCCTACTTTTTTTTTTCTAACTTTAGTTTTCATGATTTGGTGGAAATGCTTGCAGGGTGAAAATTCTGTGATTAAAATGGCACTTTGATTTGAAAAATTCTTTAATGAAACCAAAGCTAAAATAAAAATTATTCCCTTTAAGGAGAAAATTCTTAGTAAATACTGGCAAATACTCAAGTAAGTGGCTGTATCACTACCCTCTTATAAACCAGCATCCCTGTGTGTGTGTGTCTGTTTAAGGGGCCCTGCTCCAGCAGGGCCTTTTATTTTTTACTGTATAACACCAAACCATTCAGCTTCTTAACTACAAAAAACTCAGTTGAAGTCACTAGCTATTCCCTTATCTAATAATGAACAGAGAAATACCACCACACCAGTCAATAGTGAGGGAGACCCAGCAACAGGAAAACTGCCAGATGAGAATAAGACTTGAAAAATGGACAACTGACAGATGGTCAATGAGTCCTCCCTTCATCAACTCCCTCAATGAAGGGGGAGACCAGACCATTTATGCAAGTCTGGAGTTGGTCATCTTCAGTTAAAGCATTCCCTGATGCCTTGGGTTGTTTAAAATACAAATAGAAAATGAACCCTATCATGGCACTACTCATAAATTTTTCAAGATTTTCAACTCCACAAATAAAAGGGCTTATACTAATTGAAATAGTTACATGGCAAATTCTTGCTCCAAACAAAGGGACAATATAACATGTGCTATGGTGTATTTGTCCATTACTTACATTATGCAAAAGTAGCCATAGTAAAAAAAATATCCAGATGGAAGGCCATTATGTAAAGCTCTACAAAGGCAGAGATGTATTGATATATTTGTCAAGGACACTACTACAACTGGCATGGTAGCATTTTTTCCAGAAAATAAAGAAGCAGTAAGTGATGGTTTACTAAGCTTTGAATAGATTCTAGAATCTTGAGTTAATGCTCTTATGTACAATGTAGAGAATTTTGAACTTGTACTCACAAAATACATAATAAAATATATTGCTTTGGATAAAGAATTAAGTATGCATATTAATTCATATTATTCCTTCAAATCACAGCATGCCTATCATGTACTGTACATCATTTTTCTTTTAACTGGAACAGTTCAACACAGACACATTAAGGAAAAATTCCTTCCGGGATTCTAAAGTGACGTACATCTACTGATCTGTCACCTGCACAGTGCCACATGTCATCCACAAGCTGGCCAAGCAGCTTTAAACCTTCCAGAGCATTTGATGGGAATGCCAGCATACCCATGGCTTCAGGCCACTTTTCCAAGTATGGGAATATCAATGTCAACCTTTTCTGGACTGCAGCTTCCAAGAATTCAAATGTTGACCTGCAGGAAAATATAAATATAGGCCACATGAAAAAGAGTTCCAATAAGGTCAGGATTCACACTAGCTTTTTTAAGTCTTGAGTCCTGGTGCCTGGCTTAAGCTCAGTGGGAACATGTTCAGGTGGTTGTCAATGAGTCCCATGGACTTAGATTAGATGTTTTGCAAATATGAGACCCTCCAAGAAAATATGAGTCAGGGACTTGCTATAGCAAGTTAATGTGAACCCTGAAAGTACTTAAAACCGCATGAGACAATGGAAGGTTTTCATCTTTGAAAAAATAGTTATTCAGTTATAATAGTTTTTGAGTTGCTTAGGGGGTAAAAAAGTAAAATGAGGTATCAGAGATATAGTGAAGTATGCTTGCTGGAAAGATGCTTCAGCCATTTGCAAATTTGCAAGCCAAAGGCATTACAATCCCTTTCCTTTATATCAAGAGGAGCATTGGCAAGAAAAATAAAGGCCATGGGAAATTTATTACCATTCTAAAAGTAATCAATTAAGAACACATCTAGACAGAATCTTCCACCAGCATTCCATGTCATATATATCATTTATTCATATTGCAATATGAGCATCACTCACTCATAACATGTAATAACTTACGAGGAAAACTACATCTTGGCATAGTTGCTCCTATTGAGTTCACAAATTGTGTTCACAGCAGAACAAAGTCAACAAAGTCATTTAGTGCACTATCTCCAGCTAAGTAAAACCTTACCTAGAGGCTGATATTTTTTTTATTTCTTTGCTTGAGAATACTTACTTCAACTCAAAGTTATACAATAAACCATAAGATGGCCATACCTATGGTGTGAAGACTGAGAATCCCCTGATTGCTGCTGCATCCAAGAGAACAATTCTTTATTGCACTGTGTATAAAAATATGATACCAGCATGACTCCACCTTCGGGGAAGAGACCATGTGAGGCTTCTGACAGTCCAACAGACTTGGCACCTGGAAAACCATATCTGCTCTTGATATCAACTCAATGAGATAAATACTTTTCAACAGGACAAAATTGAGCATTCAATAGTTGCTTCATCTACAAGTTCTAATCCTCTATAATAAACAAGACACACCTTCTCCAAGTGACAGCCGTGACCACCCATGTTTATGAACATATGGCAAGGATGCCTTCAAGATCTGCTCCTTCAGATGATCTTCATCAATTCTCTCTCTTTCAGTCTCAGTCATCTGAAAATTCTCCATATTGACATGTATAGCAGCTCTTGATGTTGCCATCCCAGATGTTGCTCGCAGTAAGGGGAAGGCTTTCAATATTTTTGATAACATTCCTGGGCAGTTTCTCAAAACATTTCCTGTGAAGGGGTCAAGAGGCAAGAAAAAAAAACAAACCAGTAATTGACAATGATTTTTGGCTATCTATCCCTTGCATGCCCTCTTCTGGTCTACCATACTTAAAACTGCATGACCATGTCCAGGGTAGAATTTTAGCCAAGCAAATTCATTTACAAATACCATACACCATGATGGATTAGAGGCTTTGATCATTATGAGATAATACAGTAATCATCCTGCTTCATTTGGTTTCTTCTTATCTACATTATATAAATACAAACACTTGAAAAGTATAATAGGAATTACAAAAAATGTCAACATAAGAAAACAATCAAACTATTGAAGTTCAACAAAGCCACTTTTTTGAGCATGGATATTGTCAGCATTGATACCTGCAAGCCATGTTCATGTACAAACATATTTAAAAATCAAAATATTTCATGGTAGTATCAAATTAAAAAAATTATGAATCATGATAGCAAGCTAGTGATGTTTTTAGGGATTTAAAATCCAAAAGTGGATTTAAAAAAAACTTTTTGTGAATATGAGACATTCTACAACTACACCTCCATTTTTTTCTGCACTAGACCTACCATAAGACACAAACTGCAGTTTCTTCAGAAAGATGAAATTCAAAGGAGACAGTTGGATTCAAAATATACTCTTTGAAGTAATGATGAATCCATTATATTGCAATACCAGATTGGTTTCTGCCATATTCCAGTCCCCTTTCCCCTTGGGTTCCAGCAAGGAACCAGTCTGATTGATCAGCCTGGATCTAGCATGTGAATCCAACTGGAATTTTTTACTGGGAATATAACTAATAACCTATATCCTCTGTTTATGTAATACTGCAGTTTTGCAGTAAAGTCAGCTGTGCTTAATCTCTCTTAATCACTATCATCACCTTATAATAATTTCATATTAACACTTTCAGCCCTATATATCATATGAGATCCTATGCCCATGGCTTACTTAAATCACCTGGGTTGAAAGTGTTAAAAGGGAAACCTATTGAACCCAACCAAAGGGGGAAAAAATAAAAGAAGTTTACACCATTAATTCACTGTAAGCTTACAAATGTGCCAATCATCAGTCGATGAATGATCTTCCCTCACAGCCCTATATTTACACAGATAATACTGATGGTGATCCAAATGGGAACTGAGAAATGCAGTAGAAAATCTTGATCCAGCCAAGCACAGCGGCCACCTGTACATCAGTACACATAAAAAATTTTGCCTTAGTAGCATAATGCCTAGACCTAAGACACAAAATGGGTGAAATCGGTACAGGATACCTCAGGTTATTGAACTGCTTGATCAACCTAGGTGACATGCAACAGTATCATATAGGCCTCACGTTTAGTCGCTAGACCTAGGGGTAATGGTTACCCCTTAACGAAATTGCACTCCCTCAATCTCCAATGTTTCCAGATGAATTAAACTGGAAACATGCTATGTCGATTGGGATTTGGCTTAGAACTGGCAGTTCACAGGTGTCAAGAAATTAATTAAAATTAAAATAGGACAGGCTCATGAACAAACCATCCAACCAATTGTGGGAATAAAAGTGAGACATGTCTCTATGTTCAGAAAACTAAGGCCAAGTGCAAACCCCATCACCCATAAATGCTGACTGGAGAAGAGAAGTTATACTACCCAGCGTGTGCCCCTAACTTAAAGGTAATGTGTTGCCCCTAAAGTTAGGCCAGGTTAATAATAATAATATTTATTCCATCACTCTTGCAAGACCAATTCGTCTGTTGAGTTCGTCATATCTGAAAACTACAAATATACAGGGTGGGCCAAAAAAAAGTGAACCATTTTGGAAAGATCATTTCTCCCAAGCATTTGGCCAAAACTTAAAAATGATGATATCACTGTGTAGGCCATTCAATTCTCCACAAAAAATGATATAATATTATTTGCCACAAAACAATTTGTTCTCACACAAAATGCACTTGCATGAAAAGAGTGAAACATAAAAATATTCCATAGACGCTGCACAACCACTCCTAATGCACCTGCTTTGCTCTCGCTCATACCAGACAAAAAAAATTCATCACTTCAGTGTTGAAAAAGATGCTCTGCATGACCACCTCCATTTCTCCTAACAGCACGTAAGCGATCTCTCCATGTTTTAATTGCTCTAGTAATGGACTCCTGTGGCAACTCTTCCCAAGCCAACAGGATTCGTTGCTTGAGATCTTCCACATCACGAAACTTTTCACCTCGATAAACTTTTTCCTGCAAGGCAGCCCAAACAAAGTAATCAATTGGGTTGAGATCTGGACTGGATGGTGGCCACTGGTTTGGTTTGATGAAGTTCTCATCACAGGTTTCAGTCAAAAAAGCAACAGTTGTTTTAGCTGTGTGGGCAGGGGCGCCATCCTGCTGAAAAACAAAATTAGGATTTAACTCTTGAATCTCTGCTAGCNAAAAAAATCATGAAGCATGGACCAGTTGCAGACACTGAAGAGAAAGGATGACCAAAAATCGCAGCATATCACAGTTGCACAGAAAGACAGATGGTAGCTCCCAGCTTAAGTCTGTTTCCCGCAACAGTACCAAGTCAACTAGCCACTTGCTGGTGAACGCACTCCCTTCCTGCCGGGGAATGAGAAAGAGGCACACGTGGCGCGTGCACAGGATGCTGGAGCGGTGAAAACCCATTTGCCTCTAATTGCATTCAAACACATTTTGATGCCAAACTAAGGACGGAAGAACAGTTAAGATTTAATTCTTTTTTGTGCAGAATTGAGCCAGCTGCATTTTGAGTGCTTCAAAGAAGTAAAAAGAGCATTTTTGAGTAACATAGCACCCCCTGAAGGGAGGTTCACTTTTTTTTGGCCCACCCTGTACATACTCTCATAAAGAGGCAGAAGGTGAAGAGAAAAATAGATAAATGAATAAACAGAAATAGATAAATTAAATTAAATAAGTAAGAAAGTAAACAGAACTGGACAGGACACACAGAACTGGACAGAACACTCAGAACGTACAGAACTGAATTGGACACACCGAAACTGAACACATGAACATAAGTATAAAATCAAAAGGTATAAGAGAATGACAAAATGAGGAGAGTTGAAATAAAAATAATAAATAAATAAATAAATATAAATAAAAAAAGAGGAGGGGGAGGGAGGTGTGACTGCACCTTTACATAAGAGGAAACTTGAGTAAGAGGAGGTAACCCTGATGTGGGGTAGGAGGGGAGTTTACCAGGTAATATCAAAGAATTCTGAGAATGAGTAGAGCAGGTGTGAGAGAAGGAGTTCCTCGGAAGGCTGTATGATTGAGTTGCCGAGTTGACCTGGGGATAGAACTGAAGTAATGCAACCCCCAGGAGAAGGCTTCGTTTTAGATTAGGTTAGGTTAGTGTTTATTATAAATAAAAGGAATCCCAATGGAAGGGGCATGCTTTCAGTTGAGTTCACCTGGAAACATTGGAGACTGGGGCAGTGCAATTTCTCTAAGGAGTACGTACGTGCTTAACAGTTACCGCTAAGCCATGTGGTGCTCACGCTCGCCTGATGGTCGCCATGTTTACGATCATGGCATCCTTCAGCATGCACACATGGGCACGTGTTGGTGGATGCCGCGGTCTCGGTTTCGCTGCTTTGGGCACCGGCCAGCAGATCTTAGGTGTATTTGCGCAGGACTGGCTTGAGCAGACGACTATGCGAGTCGTTATTTACGAGCTTGTATTGGTGTCTAACCGAAGTTATTGCAATCCCCTCCTAGTGACGTCTAAGTTTTCACACTTACTCATTTGTTACTCTAGACCCGTGCCGCTCTCAGTTTCTCTACCTGGTGACTGAGTAGCTGTATTTGACCTATTTATAAGCCAAGTTAGATCATTTCTGCCCGACGGGTTTTTTAAATATTTAACTATGAAAATTTAAATGCTGTCTGCATTTGAGAGGAGTGATTGTGACCTCATAAGTGACTTTCCAGGGAAATTTTTGACAGGAAGGAGAAAGGGTAATAAAAATGACGACGTAGATGCAGGTTTTTTTTGGTTGAATTCATCCAACTTTCAATTGCCTCCAAAACATGTGCCTTATACCCAATGTACAGGTGTGAGAGTAATTTAAAAAAAAAAAAGCATTTAAAAATAGGAAACAATTTTTTTCTGCTTTCTCCCTCCACTCTATTTTTTATTTTTGGACATATGCTATTATGCAGTTACAATGAAGTAAAACAATGTAGAAGTCAATAGGAAAGCACAGTATTTCCCTCCCCCCATTTGACTTAATTTTAGGAAAGGAAAATGCTTCCTCAGAACTGAAACTATCTGTACACAAAGACTAGAGAGTACTTTGAAGAAGCAACTGGTCTGGCACACAATCTTGAACTGGGGCTACTCAAGACTGCAGTTGTGTACCTGTAACTTTTCCATGCTGGTCACTATACAATTTCCTTTTTAAGGAAAAAATGAGAAAAAATTAAACCAAGACTGAGAGTTTCTTAAAAAAATTTTTTTGTAATTTGATATAGACCTTTGAGGAATTGACTATACTTCCTCAGCTCTTCACCATCCCTCTTTGCTCCATTTTATTTTATTGTATGGGAATGTTTATTATATGTTTAAAAGCTAGTAAAATTGAGGAGAAATGGAATGAGCCTTGAGAAAGTGAAATAACTATAACATATTTTATGTCAATTATGTTTCATCAAAGCTCTTAGCATCTTGCCTTTCCATATCATTTCAGAGAGCCAAAATCCTGCCAATCAAGAGATATGGCCAAAAATAAACGAAAGGATAATCCAATATACCATGTGGCAGGAAAACAGAAGACATTGAAGAAAAAAGGAAAACCAAGTAAAGTGATGGGAAATCTGAAGAGGGTGAGTCTGGAAAAGGATGAAACTATGCACACTAAGTCTACTATTGTACAGGGTATGACAAATAATGGGATCCCTTGCATCTTACCACAAAAGTAAAACCCCACTCTTACAGTAATTATTTCCACAGAATTTGCTCTTTATTTAAGGGACTTATGAAGTTTCATTCCAGTTCATTGTGCTGAGTCAAGGCCATGAAAAATAATTAAAAACAAGTGAATGTTGAAACTGGACTAGAGGCAATGCTGGTAGCTGAGTGATAACCAAAAGATAAGCCTTTGCACTATGGTTGAGTTTCTTCCGGCTGCATCAAATGTATCTTCTATTCAAATTCATTCTTGGAGTTGGCCTTTGTTGCAGATTATGTTTATATACTTTTTCAATTTCCTTTTTTCTAGAATAATTGCCTGCCTTAATGGAATGAATTTGAATCAGCTTTCGTAATGCTGCAGAAAACATAACAGTCTTTGAACACTTAAAGTTTAAAGATAATTAAGAGGGATTACATCCCTAGCTTAAGAGAATCTGTTCATGGCTTGAAGCAGGTGCTGGAAGTCTTATCATGGATTTTAGTTTTTCTTGTGATGCATCCCCTTCAGTCAGCCAATCACAGTTTGTCTTCATATTCTTTTCCAGATAAATTCAGGTCAGCATATCATTGATAAACTTGACAGTGAACTCAAGAATGTGAAGAAGGACTTGCTGCAATCTGGGGCCCAGGCCCCTCCTGTGAAGTCAATGGACATTCATATTGGAAAGGTTAATAGAGAGAAAGTATCCAACAGTGATGTGGATGATCTTGCAGATCAAATGAATGCTCCAATGGAAATCCAAAAATACAGATCTTCCTGATCCTTCAGTTTTCTTTATTCCATCTGTTTGCAAGTGGCCCTTGTCATCTACAGATTTTCAAAATGAAAAATATGTTGTCATGGTCATGCATTCCAGAATCTTCTTTCAAGGACTTACCAATATATTATGCATTTTAGAGGGCTGGCTAAACAACATAAAATTAAAAAATAATTCTTCCTTTGAAGAATATTGAAAAACACTTGTCTTTGTCCAATCAGCATCTCACTTACCCTGGACAGTAACCAATATTCAAATCATCTGAACTACTCAAGAAATTTGATTGGTTTGAAAAAATATGACTCCTGTGGATATCACTGACACAAACCTTTGAATAAGCAGTTTTTCTATTTCTTGTTTCAAGGGTAAATCAGCCAAATCTAATCAAGTATTCCTGGGGAGGAGGCCCCTCATCAGCCACTCACTGCTGGATCTGCATAAGCCAATCTTTAAAGTCCTCACTCGTCAGTGGGACTGTCGTAGTCATAAAACTTGATGCCCAACTAAGTCAAATTGCATTGAGTATGACCAGTGTAGCTCATGTGAAATGATCCAAAGTAGCAAATAATGCTGCAAGAATCATAATGTATTTGTTGGAGTTTGAGGCCATATTGCCAAGCTTTTAAAATTGTTAAATGTATTACCACTGAAAAAACTCATGTTCTATAAGGTAAACTGATATGTAAAACTCTATAACATTTTAGAAGTTCAAAACAACACATCCCACAGGTATTGCAAGAATTACATTCACATGACCACAAGGTAAAATGACCATTTTAAAATGTATTCTACCATTTAATAAAAATTGTATATGAAAGGAATTCAATGAAAATTCAAGGGATCAGCATAATTCTTTGCATGAAGAAAATATAACTTTAAATGCAACCTAAGTGAGAAGTGTCTCAGTGATTATTATATTTCATGGATACTTTGGACAATCTTAAATAATGCCAATGCAATTAATATATTAATATAAAATTTCAATGCAAGTAGTCTGTACCTCTGCTTCTAATGGAATATCTTTCAATGGCAATGTTCTATCATGCTTGTTGGTTTGTAGTTTTATTTATTTATTTTGTAATGACATACCTATTTCTTCTGAGGCCCCACATTATTTTATGTTTTCTCACGTTTGATATTCTGCAATGGAAATAGGTATGAACGTTGCCAAAATTGTTATGCTCCTGGAGAATAGGTTGAATGACTATAACCACTTCCATCACAAGAAAATAGCCTGCATTATTTCCTTTTGCATTCACTGGATGTATTTAAAAAATAACCTGCAATGTGACATGATAATGACTGAGATTTGGGCTCATCTACAGATACATGACACTTCAACAACAGGGACTACACTATGGTCATGATGGTGGGATATAGCATGTTTCTCCAGTCCTCCGGTAATGAGCAAAGATCTTCTCTCTGTCTTCCTGAGATGGAAGTGCAGGCTTGATTCCTTTTGTCCTCCTCTCCTTCAAAACTTGATTCTGGATGACCATACATATTATTCCTCTTATACAATTCAACTGCTGAGCACCCTCATTTGTCACGAAAAATGCAAGATGGGAGGTAAATGTTGCTCACCCAAAATTCCTTGCATCTCTTGTAATTTTCAAATATAACTGTGCACTTTTCTTTGTCATAGTCATTCTCTTGAAGGCACCTGTAGGATAACTTGCTCTCCTAGGAAAAAGCAGATACATACAGATCTACATCAATGAAGATACCTCAAAAATGCACATATATATGGTTCTCACCCATCATTTGTCTTATGCTCAAACCATGAAAACCTTCATGCCTATGCATGCATTGCATAGGTTGCAGTGTCACCCAGTAATCCTATTGCCCATGAACAATGGCTTCCAATTTTTCTTTCCTCATTATCCATTTGGTGTTCATGACCAATCTCATTTCAATCAAGAGGTGGGATGACAAGGTTCATCCAGCTGCATGATGGGTACAGTCTCTTTCACTTACAAACCACTTTGGCAGATGAGCCATGGAAATCTGAAGCTGTGAAAAACATTCATAAAGACAAGGCTCTTAACGTGCAATTTCTTCCTTCCCTTTTATACATTAGTGATACTAATTCTGCCCCCATGCTATATATTTCAACTCGATCAGAAGTACAAGCAGACTTTTTCAACCTAATTATACAAGCGTTTGATCCCTAAAAATGAATGGACTGTATATCCATTATCCTCTTGATTGGCATAGATCTTGAAAAGCTGAATATCAAACTGTTGGTAAGGGGGCAGATTTTGAGGTTAAGGGGGTTGGAAATTGGATCACCTATCCTACATAAGTAGGCCTGGCACCATTTCTCTTAGAACCCCTTATACCAGCATCCATACATCCACATCTCTAAAATATTGCTGGTGCAAACCCAGCGATATTATATTCATGATTTGGTGCAGTTATAATGAAAATGCACTTCATGGAAGAAAGCTCATTTGATAATAAAATTTTCACTTGATTCTGATTCAATTAGACCTTCCCAATTTGATAAGACACTTATCTGACATTTCAATTCTCAACCAATCATTTAACAAAACCTATTTTTTCCATGAATGCAGTTTATCAGAGTTTAGCAGAGGCATCACCATGCATGGCCCATGTCATACCATCCAGCCATTCTGCAACTCAGATGGAGATCATTGAAAAGAAACATTTTTTGGCATTTCTTCAAACATACCAGGTGGCCCAAAAAAAACTTGCTCTGTTTGACACTTTATAAAACCTGCTGTGGATGATCTAGGTTTGTGATGCTTTCATATCCTATTGGAAACACCACAAAATTTGTTTTCTGAAAGTTTCCTAGGTTGTCTGAAGAAAAACCAACAATCACTCTAAGTGGAGTCATAAAATATACCTTTTCTGTGCATGAGGTGGATGGAGTTTCAGGACTGATTGAATAATTTCTCACCCTTGATGCCATAAATGCTGATTTTTATGCCTGTTTTCATCATATTATTCTCAGTAGTATCAATTCTGATGCTACAACATATGAAATACTATTCAACAACGTGCAGAATACAATGACGAGGACAAGACATGACGCAAAAAGCAGTCTTCATAGTGTCGAGTGAGGGAAATCATTCAAGCTGGGCTGCAACTCCATCCACCTCATCAGCATAAAATGTGCATTTTATGACTCCACTTTGAACAACTCCCTCCATGGGCTGGAGGTTGTGTATCCCTGACCTCTCCACTTGAATACGAATGGTAAATAGAGATTTAGGATGTTGGCCTTCAATCTAATTGATTGCACAGATAATATGAGAGGAATATTCAAAATTTGTCCTTCACTGAATGGATCAGATGGGTGGCAAGCAAGCCCAGCAATATCATCTTCTATAGCCAGCCCAAAAAAAGCAACACTGCCCTCAGTATGATCTGGATTTTGTGGCTCTGTGCCAAGTACATTGAAACAATTATCCTGCAGGTATGTAGAGTCCTGAAAGTATATAATGCAGAGGGCTAAACATTTGGATCATCATGGTACATTAGGTCATTTCAAATCAAAAAGGGATCCAAATTGCTGCAAAATTACATCAAGGCCTAAATTCTAAATGTTACTAACAATAGACCTAGGGTCAACTCATTATTTTCTACATTATATAAAGGAGGCATATAATAATAAAAAGTAGCATGTAGTAGAAAAAGCTCATGTACCTATGGTGAAACTGCTTTAGCTAAAAAGGAAAAATTATTGGTAACCACCTGGTGCTCCTGTAGCTCTTGTAAAGTACTAGCCTTACATGAAAGAATATAGAGTCTCTCACCAAGAGGCATGGATTATTTTGATCATAGATTGAGGAGGTCCCTGACTTTGTATCCTTTTTCGTTTGGGATGAACTGGCAAGCATGATCACAGGCAGGGAGTTGTTACCTGTCAGTGAGCACAGACATAGAACACTTCATGGCTAATTCATAAGAAATCATTTCTTAACCTATACACAAGAGATGTATGCCTACCTTAAACAACTGAAAGTCAAACCCAGCAAAATCTGGAAAATAACACTCTACTATCAGCTGATGACTACTAGTTATCGGCTATTTGAATTCATCAAATTTTAAAAATAAAAAACACATACGTTTGCACAAAGTAGATGAACATCCACAGTAATTTCACAAAGGAAAAAGGATTTCAAAACAGCCTCTTAAGGACTGCCAAATATCAAGATGGGGTAGAATAAAGTTACACAAGGAGCACCAGGATAAAACAAATGAAGTACATATATTAAATACAAATCTCCATATTTTTACCTTCAGAGAAAAAAAAAATCAATCTCACATTGTAAGAACTCCAGGACACAAAAACATGGCATCTCAGGCATCAATATAAGAAATAAAAAAGCTTTAATACAAATGCAGTCATACTTAAGATTGTACAGGGTCAATGTCCAACATAGCACCAAATTTTACTCTGACATAAGATTTCTCTGTCTTAATATGTTATTACAAATGGGTTGAATGTATGATGTTAGAATAAAGATTTCTTTCATACTAGAAAAGACTTGCATGACCTGATACTTTAGAGTAAATCATAGGAGCAGATGTCAATAGCAAGCATGCAGTACTATATCTCAAGGGCAAAGCATTATGTTTGAATATAGTTTTATTGGGAACCACTGTCTATTTCTTTAAAAGCAATGCGTTCTTGTAAGTTTGAGCTCAAGAAGGAAAAACTGACACCAATAAAAATTAAAGTTTTGGATTGTGCAAAATACCACATGATCCAAAGTAAGACAGCATAGAATGATTCATTTCTGACCCTTTCAATCCTGCTTATGTATGTTTCTGCAGCACTCCCCTATTTACCAATGCATGCGTGGTTTATTATGAATGAAAGAGACCAAATAAATGCTCTGCAAATGTTAAGGTAGATGCTGTCTATTAGGCAATTATAGCCATGATATTGTTTAATTTCCAAAACCCCTCCGAAATGTGCAATTCGTACCCGAAAAATCCACCTAATGCAATTTTTAAGTACTTCCGTGTAGTCCCTTGTCTCACAACTTGAATACCTTGAGTCAATGAAGAGTACATCGGAAAAGTTTATATGTATAACTCTAGATCCAA